TTGACTTGGGGTTGAGGGTACTGGGTCGTGGGAAGGGAGTTTGGGTCTCGACGGGTTTACTGGGTTGGGAATGGAGTTTTGGGAGTCATTGGGAGGTTCAGTGGTATCGTTATGCATCAGGAGTATGGTGGATGGTTGTCATTATATCTATATCCCCCTGCCAGTCATCATTATCGATTTTGCTTGGCATACAGCCTCAGATCCGGTTGATGTCCACCCGCGTCCGTTCGTACAGCTTATGACTGACTTGCTTCTGGTCTCGCTCCTCCGCGTCAATCGTCCGTGGATGGATCGCTAGCTGGGCGTATGTCCCGGCCGCGCGGCGCTTCGACAGCGTCCCCGGGTTGATCACCGTTACGCTCTCCACCACCTGTCACGTAGTCAGTTAGCTAGTCCATCGATCAGAGGCAAAGGGCGGCGCACCTTGACAAACGGAGGCAGCATGCTCGGCACAATCAACACGTCCGGCCGCACATTCCACCACTCCCCCAGCTTCGAGTAGCTCACGTCCAGCATCGCCCCCGTCGCCAGCCCGGTCTCCGTCCCCGGCCGCGGCAGCAGCTCGCGCGCCGTCGGGGGAAACATCGGGTGGAAGTGTCGCTGCTCGATCAGGTACTTCGGCAGCCGGCTCAGCAGGTTCCCCTCCTTGGGCCTGCCGTGCAGCACCTCCTCGCGCCGCAGCTCGTATAGCACGTCGTGCGAGCACAGCCCGATCACTGTCTCGTTCAACGACAGCGTCACCGGGTTCGACACCATGCGCGCCTGCTTCGGCAGCCCCAGCTCCTTCTTGGGCAGCTGCTCCTGCGGCCACGCGACGTGCTTGCTCACCGCGTCGCGCACCGACGGCACCAGCACGATCGTGATGCTGGGCACCGCCTGCGCCAGCCGCTGCAGCGGCGCCGCGATGCAGTGCCGGAACACGGTCGTCAGCGTCGCCGTGTCGGGGTCCAACCCCGCGATCTCGGGGAGGTCGAAATCCCCCGACGCCAGCAGTGGGTGCTCCACGTCGAGGAACGGCCCCATCAGGATGACCCCGTCGGCGTAGCTCTCTGCGGCCTTGCGGCAGATCTCTTTCAACGGCTCGAAGGCGAGATTGTCGTCGGCGGTGTACGGTCCCGACGCGAGGAGGATGTTGAGTGGAGAGGAGCCGCCGGCCGCCTCGAGTCGCTCGTTGATGCTTTCGATGTTGACGACGGACGAGGCCGCAGGCGGCAGCAGCGGCGTGGGCAGCACCTCTGTCACGGAGAAGTAGTTCCCGGAGGCGTTGATCCCGCGCAGCGCCACCATCTGGCCCGGGAAGAAGTTGGCCGAGGGGACGCCGTCGAGCTTCAGGGGCACGCGCACGCCGGCGCCCGTCCGTCGCGACGTCTCGAGGACGAGCGATGCCGGGTTCAGCTTGCCCTCCATGCTGTCAGATGCGATGCGGCCTACGGCCACAATCTCGCTCGTGCTTTGCGTCGCCGCGCTGCCAAATGTGATCTCGTCGGATTCGTATTGTTTCTGGAACAGTGCGGTGAACTCGTCGATCCGATCGTCGAGAATCTCCGAGGCCTCCGACAGGCGCATTGCCATGGGCTTGTAGCCGAATTTCTTGAGGTCCGTGTTCGCCGTCGGCTTGATCCGCGCTTCGGCGTACGGGGCGATGGGTGTTTCGGGGAGGGGGAGGTGGGAGTTGATCGTTTCGAGCGTCTCGCCGGCGTTCTGCCGCTCGCTGAATGAGATCGACCTATTGTGCATTTTCACCCCGCATCAGCAATCTGTTTAGTCTCTGTCATATGCGCGCCACATACGGGAGTGCGTCGCCATTCGTCGTCTTGACGCCGGTGTTTGTGCTCATGGGAGAACCATTCTGGTTCGTCCGTCCGATCTTGTTCATCGCCGGCGACGCGAAATCCGACTTGCGCTTCGCCGGCGTCCGGCCTTGGGATCCGTTCGGTGTGAGTCCATCTAACCTGAAAGCGCAAGCTGTTAGAGTCAGGCCGTGCGAAGTAGGATGGCTGACTTACATTCCGAAAACATCGGAGGTGTTGGCAGCCCGCGGGGTCGCAGTGACTGCCGTTCTTCTGTCTGTTTGGCGCCCAGCTCTGCCCCGCGATTCGCGCTCGAGTGTATCCTGAACATCTTTCTTGAACAATCGCACAGTCTCCAGATCCAGCTTCAGCTCATCTGGCCCCATCTTCAAACAGTAGGACTCCCATTTATAGAAAAGCTCCTGCGCGGAGATAGCGTGGATGCGCAACAGCGACTGCAGTTCGGCCAGGACGTCCTTGGGGAGTCCATTGGGGGCAGCAGCTGCGAAGAGCTCGTTGAGCTCTTCGGTGGTGTCTGCCATTATTTCGAGTCGATGTGGAGACCAGCGAGTTATAGTCGCGAAGATCTTGCTTGGTACCTAGTATGTTGGTGATATCTCCATCTATTCATTAATCAATTAACGGAGGGTGACGCGGAGGACGCGCGTGTGGGACGCGGAGCGGAAGTGGAAGCTGACCGCCTACTGTATTCAGCCAGACAGCAGGACCGCCCGGCGGCGGTGTGCATCTCCGGCGGTGTGAAGAGCAGGAGATTATTTGCAGGAGGGCGATCTGCCGGTGGGCCTGTCGATCGAGAGATTAGTAGTATTCCTCGAGTAAGTATTATCCCGGCAGTTGGCCAGCTGGTCCATCAGCTTCTCTCGTTCATTGTCTGACATTTCCCCTTTTCTACTCGTCTTTGAGTCTGCCACCATCTCTGCGCCAGGATTCTAGCAACTACACCTCATCAATCCATCAATTCATCTTGCATAAACGAACCGCATCCCCCTTTCCCGCACTATGAGCGCCGCCCCAGAAACCCAAGCTGCGCCTGCTGCTGCGGTTCCAGCTGTCAACGAGCCAGCTCAATCGCAGACAGCTGGATTCAATCCCGCCCCTGAGACGCCCGCTGGAGCTACCGAATCCACCTCCGCGAAGAACATCGAGCTCGAGCTGCCCATGTCGGCCGCCGACGGCCTCATCCAGAAGCCCTTCGCCCGCCCCTTGGACACCGCAAAACCTACCCCGCCTGCTAAACTCCAACCCGACCAGCAAGCCAAGTACAATGAAGTCTTCAAGACGGTCTCCGAATGGACTGCTCTTCCCACGACATCGGCCAAGAATGCCCCCACGGCCCCTCTGACCGACAGTGAACGCATGTTCCTTACTCGCGAGTGTATCCTGCGCTATCTGCGCGCAAGCAAGTGGAATGTGTCCGAGGCAACTACCCGTCTGCAGCGCACTCTCACCTGGCGCCGGGAGTATGGGGTCGAGAGGTTGACGGCCGATTACATCTCCATCGAGAACGAGACCGGCAAACAGGTCATTCTGGGGTATGACATTGAAGGACGTCCCTGCCTCTACCTCATCCCGTCGAAGCAGAACACGGAGACGAGCGATCGCCAGATTGAGCATCTGGTCTTCATGCTGGAGCGCGTGATCGACCTCATGGGTCCTGACCAAGAGACTTTGGCGCTTCTCGTCAACTTCAAGGAGACCAAGTCCGGCCAGAATGCCAGCATCGGGCAGGCCAAGCAGACCCTCAACTTTCTGCAGAACCACTACCCGGAGCGCATGGGTCGGGCGCTCGTCATCAATAGTAAGTGGCCCTTTCGGTGGGTGGGCGTACTCAATCTGACCACTTGGATCACCCAGTGCCGTTCCTCATCAACGGATTCTTCAAGATCATCACCCCGTTCATCGACCCCCAGACCCGACAGAAGCTCAAGTTCAACGAAGACCTGCGCCAGCATGTGCCGCCGGAGCAGTTGATGAAGTCGATGGGCGGAGACGTCGAGTTTCGCTACGACCATGCCACCTACTGGCCCACTTTGAACCAGCTAGCGGACCAGCGCCGAGCCGCCTACACGGAACGGTGGATCCAGGGTGGTAAGCGCATCGGAGAGTTCGAAAACTATCTGAAGACCGGCACCAGCCCCAGCCTGGCACAGTCCGAAGGAACGCCCAATGGCGGGGCGGGTGAGACGCAACCCACTGCTTAAAGCATCGCCAACTCTATTCGAGGCGTACAGGCTGTTGCTGGCTTGGAAGGCCTCTCTCCGAGCATCTTACAGACTGCCTGAGTGCGTCAATCCCCGTAAATAGATATTGTCTTTTCTGCATTATACCTGAATTTGGCGCGATTTGTACCCCGAATCTCTATGGGTGCCGGGGAAAAATTCATCATCATTTGTCGCAATAGGTTTATAAAATAGACTTAAAGGATCACATGGTTATAGGTGATTCTGAGATCATCCATGATAGGTCTATCCACTTCCCCAACCTGCACCAAGAATCACGTGAATAATAGTGGGGCACTTATAGCCTTAGGCATCAATATGATAGGAAATGAAGCATCTTCGGTGATAGCGGGGAGGGGTTCGGTTATGGCGTCGCAAAGGACTTCAGCGGTCTCTTGGGAATGGAACAAGACAAGACATTCTAACAGTGGAGCAACTGCATATTTTTCTCTGTCCGTCAGTCCTGTCAGCCAGCCAGGCGAAATAGTCTACCACCAATGTACTGTACATAAAGGTGATGCCCGAGGGGTCTGAGAGGTGGGATGGATCGGTCAACAGGTACTTTGTGTCGGCAGAGACATCATTCCAGCTGGAGGATTTATCAAGTGATCTCTCCAGTAACTAGGACTAGGTTAGATTTATTATCAATCCTTCTCCCTCGGCTTCCTAGATAACCACCACTTCATTGCCTCCCTCTGTCCTTATTTCTCCTCCCTGTCCTGCACGGCTTGCTTGCGAGAAACGGGAAAGATTGTTTGTCACGCAACAGTGAGCGTACTATACTTGTGCAAGCAAGGGACATTAGCCCTGAATCCTAAAAGTCGGTTGTAGTAGTTGTCTAGTTGTTGTCGTTGCACAGGCATCGTTTTTTTTTTTTTTTCTGCTCCTTCTCGCTTGCATTCTCCCAGGCCAAAGGTCTCTCCACACCGGAGCTCCAACTGGAAGCGGTGGTTGAACGCATCGATCAATCATGACGGAGGACTTTCCCCAGCGGCGGCGGCCAGTCCCCACGGGCAGAACCAGCTCTACTTCCGGCCTGCCGCCCTCCACTATTATTACTGCTTCAACAACTACGCCAACAACCACCGCCAACGACCATTCTCTCTTCTCCTCGGCCACAACGGCGACTGCTACGGCTTTTGCTTTCGCATCCCCTACTGCTACAGCTCCATTTCCTCTCTCCACCACCACCACCACCACCACCCTTCACCCTCGAACTCGATCCCGGTCGCAGCCCTACGCCCCATCCTCTTCTCTCCCCATCGCTCTTCTGTCCTCCCACCTCTCCTCCACCTTAGACCGTCGGCCAGTCCGTGCCCACGAGGGAGGTTTCGTGCACCCCGCCTCCTTTCTCCGGCCGCGAGGTCTGTCACAACCAATGCCCCCAGCTCAGCCCGAGAGGGCCATCGATCGGGAAGAGCGTCAGGGCCTAGTGAGTCGCCTTCTCTCTCTCTCCCCGTCTTTGCTGCAGCATGAATCATATTCCTCTCCCCGTTCGAGCCTTGGTGCCTCAACCCCTCATTCGCATACCCAAATCTACACCCGTCTTTCTCTGGGCCAATTCGCCCGCGATTATGTCGGCAGCCAGACAACAGTCTTCTGTCTCATTTCTGTTTCGTAATTTGCACTTCCATGGGTCCTCAATTGCTAGGATGCAGTGGCTAATAGAGTCGTGGATCGGTCTTCCATTGTAGCGTGCCATCCGCAACTTCCTCAAAGTCCGTACCAGTTACGATGTCCTCCCCCTTAGTTTCCGACTCATAATCTTCGACACTTCATTGTCCGTCAAGGAGAGCTTGAACATCCTCATCCAAAATGGCAGGTGTTTCCCTTGTCCGTCACCAGGCGGGATGACTCCGTCCGCGACTGCGCCACACTCCGGGCGACGTCACGATGCTGGAAGAATCATTTGCTGACCAGGAGGACGTGATGCTTCGGGATAACAGGTATCGTCTCGGCTCCGTTATGGGATTCCAAGGCCTCGACCTTTGCCGGTCTTTTGACCACCTCCGACTACATCAACGTCATCCAATACTACTTCCAGAACCCGGCTGCGCTGAACCAGATCGACCAATTCCGGCTCGACAGCCTCCGAGGTGCGCAGCTCAACAATAGTTCACGGATCTCCGCAGGACTGACACTTTAGACAGAGGTGGAAAAGGCATTGGGCGTCGCTCCTCCCGAGACGATATCGATCGACCCTGAACGTCCCCTCTATGAGGCCTGTCGGCGCATGCTGGAGTCGCGCGCTCGCCGTATTCCCCTCGTCACATATGACAGTCAAACCGACCGCTCTCTCGTTCTCAGCGTCGTTACTCAGTATCGCATTCTCAAGTTCGTTGCGGTCAATGTCCCCGACACCCAGAAGCTGCGCAAGCCGCTTGGTGAGATCTTGCTGGGCTCTTACCAGAATGTCGCAACGGCATCCATGGATACCCCTGTCATTGATGTCATTCATATTTTGGTCGAGCGGAGCATATCCAGTGTGCCGATTGTGAATTCCGAGGGTAGGACGGCCCCTCTGTCCGGACACGGACCTTCAGTGGCTGGGTCTCATGGCTAACTTTTTGGCGCCCTCTAGGAGTGGTCTACAATGTATTCGAAGCTGTTGATGTAATCACCCTGATCAAAGGCGGGGTGTATGATGATCTCAGCCTGACAGTCGGAGAGGCGTTGAAAAAGCGATCTCCAGTAAGTATACCTCATACCCTGCTTGCGGAATGGGTCGGTTAACCGGCGTTTAGGATTTTCCGGGCATCTACACGTGCTCCTTAAATGATGGTCTGGACACCATCTTCGACACTATTCGCAAGTCTCGCGTCCACCGCCTGGTTGTGGTGGATGAGAACTTCCGGCTCAAGGGCGTCCTGACCCTGAGCGACATCCTGCAGTACATCCTCCTTGAGGGCGAGACTGATGAGCTATCATGAATTGATGTTTAACTTCTTGATTTACCCTTTCTACTGGAGCCACAGTGTTGCCAATATACTCACAATTGCATAGGATGGCGTTTCTCGTTTGGGGCTAGTGTCGGTGTCGGAGCCTCTCCCACGGGGTTCGACAGATGGTAGCTTACTTGTTACCAGCTCATGTTCTTCTTTTTTTTTTCTCTATTCCGTCTCTTTCCAACTCACGATGCAAAAGTAAACCTACATGCTATCATATAGGGTCTACACATGTTCTTCGATCGGTCTCCCCGCCGCGAGCGGCAAGGGGGCCGGGAACCTAGCATTGGCGCTAGGATTGACAACAATAGATTTCATTGCTTGTATGACTCTCTCGCACTCTCATGATCCACTCTGATTCGATGTTGCTATTGACCTGTATGTTGTATCTTTGTACTTGTTCAACTGTAGTGTCCAGTGTCTTTGCGATGGAAGTTGACAGCAGGACATGGCCGCTCTTTCCTTTGCTGAAACAAGCTTCCCTGCTACGGTTGGCTACCCTGCTTCAAAGGAAGGAGCGGTTGTCTACTCGGAGGTGTACTATGAGGCCCTCGAGGCTCGCATCCGACCTCAATCTGCACTGTACCTACTACGTCGTAGGTATGGTGTAATCCACAGACCAGGCTCAGTGGCTCTGAATGAGATTGCTCAACTATAGCGTTGCTTCATCTTCATTCACAACAATGGGCGCTTTGAAAGATACATCCGCTAACCGAGGTCGTGGGAATGAGCCTATCAAACGCACATTCGCTGTGACTCGAACAGAGCTGTCCTCGGGGACTGCTACTACTACCACCGACGATAGCAGCGTGGACCAGGCGCAGCCGCTCTTCCGCCAGCAGCAGAGCCCGGTCGCACCAGCCGATCCACTCAAGCAACAGCAACAGCAACAGTTGCGAAGTTCGCGAAGTTCGCGACGGCTTACCAATCTCAAAAGTTTCTTTCGCTTTCGCAAGTCTCGGCAACCGGATCTACCGTTAAATCCATTATTCGAGCTTCCGACCAGACCGGAGAACACCAGGAATCTAGCTAGCGGGTGCATGCTAAGTCGCAGCATCGTGGAGGGTCATTGTGCGGAATCTACATCAAACCCGCATTCCAGCGGTCAACTCGACGAGGCTGGCGAGGCCCGCAAGGTGAGTGACAACACGGTATATTCTCTCCACTCGGACCAGACCAGCGCGACGGTGTGTCATGATCCCTCCAAGCGTCTTTCCATGCCCATTGCCCTTGCAGACCCATCCCTCTGTCAGAACCCATTCACCGATCCCCTAAATCTGGTAGACGATTCAGAAAGTAGCCGAAACCATGCAAGGAATCCGACTCGGTCCACAAGACAGTCTAGCTCCGAGTCGAGCCAGACGGGAGTCTCGTCGACCTACGACGATACCGAGAGTTTCCAGCGACTAGCCAACCCGTTTGCCGGAGGGAGTTCAATCGAGTCTCGAAGTTCCTCACGGGACAGTTTCTATGTCTCAACCTCGGATGATAGTTCTGTGATTGCTGAGATCGAACGGCGCGCCGCCGTGCTGGAATTCAACGAACTGGTCCAGAAGCTCCGTCTCCCGCCTCTGCCGATGAACAACAGCAAGGGGGCAGAATCGGGCGATGGCTCGCATTCCCAGTTATCGGGTTCGCGCGGACAATTCCAACGGGATCGACGCTTGGATTCTCCAGCTGACTGGGTGCTAGAGCAGCCTCCCCCCACCACTGCTGGCGAGAAGGTGTCTTCCGGACGGCGAGACCGACTCTACGGTCGACTACGTACGATGCGATCGACCCTACAACTAGGTTTTTCGTCGGAGGGACCCCGCACCACGCGGACTTTACGCCGAATGAAGACGTTGGCGCATGTGGGCACTCGGGTGAACGAGATGACTTCACTGACGGGGATATCACTGGAGGAATTGGCGCGTCTCGGGGGCTATAATCTACTAACGCTGCCGGCCGAGTTTGCGCCTATGAAACTCCGCCTCCCGGTATGTTTTGTAGCTACAATTACCGTCTTGGGACGATTTGGTAGGTCCTGGCCCCATCTCTACCCCACTGGAGATGCGCGAGGTGCATGAGATGGAATGGTCTCGCTCATCTACGTCATTGCTCCAGCTGCCCCGGTGCGCGACGTGTTTGTCGATCCCGGCCATCCGAAAATGGCAATGCGAATCTACGACCATTTCGCCCGGTCGGTGCTCGCCGCCCTGCGACAATCCGATCAAATCCAGATGACAGTTGGACGTAGTGACCTGCCCCTGGCGGTGATCGAGCCTAGCGCTCGTACGATGGACGACACAATGGTGCAAAGCATGGCACGGGCATTCCTGGCACTACTGGCGGGGCTTCCCAGAGGGCTTCTGGGATTACCGGCCCTATATCGGGTGCTAGTGGGCATTAGCCAAGCACCCGTGGTGGGTGACGAAGTCGAACGGCGTCGCAGCTGTCTTGGAGGGGTTTCGCCGCAGGATTACGTCAAGGTCAAGGCCATTGGGCTGGCGCTGCTGGCCCTGACGAACACCATGCAGCTGCACCTGCTCTGTGGAGTGATTGGCCTCAGCGCTCTACTCCTGCATGAAACGCAGCGGCTAGCGCAGGAGGAGGCTCCGCGCTCTGTCAACCAAGAGAATGGACGGCGGACGAGTGGGGGGCCGGGGCCGCTGACGCTGGACCGGCTGGGTCGCGTGCTCGGACCGTTGCTCACGGGGAGAGAGGGGTCTGGCGACACGTTTGGAGCTATCGCCCAGGAGATTGAGAGCGAACGAGTGGTGATGATGCTCGTGGAGCACTGGCGAGGGATCAGTCGTCAGCTGCGCATTTGGGAGCATCGCAACCTGCCGAGGCGGCGCCGGCGATCCATGCAAATGGGACGTGCAATGGTCTGTTGCTGAGGCGGTTCTTGAGGATCGGGGGATATCTCCGGGAGCAAATTGTTTGCCGGTCGGACGATACTTGTAGAAGAAAAAGTCAGGGAGCGATAGAAGGTTTGATATGAAGTCATCGGGGATCCGCATCAGGGGAGGATGGGCGACGCTAGTGAAATGGGGGTGTGAGCAAAGGTACCCATAGACTCAGTACTTTGGGCAGCCGCTGTATTTCTTTTTTTCTGTTTTGTTTTTCGCCTTTTTTTTTTCTTTTTGCCAGGAACTGTATAGTATGTGTTTGATATTGACAGAGTGAGTCGTCCGTAGTGGGGACCGTCGAGTGAGCGGGTTTGACATTGGTGAGTTCCGCTGGCCATGAGACGGCCCCCGATCGAGCAAACCAAGGTTGGCCACTGAATTGACCTTCTAGTTGTACAGTATATTGAGGAGGTGAAAGGAATCGCCGGGCTCTTCCGGCCAGGATATCCAGCGGATGAACGGACGGGACTATCAGATTTTTTTCCTTTTCTTCCATGGTCGATGGTCCTCCTGTACGCCTATTGAACCGAATTCACCGATTTCTGGTCGGCTCTGGGCGGGAGAGTGAGTGCGAGAGAGTCTGAGTTTGTTAAGTGGACTTTGCGATGTTGGAACCAAAAACCAAGTTTTCCAGTCCCGGGCGATGTAGACTACATGGAGAGGAGAGGGGAGGGTAACTTAGAGGAGGGGAGGGGAGAAGAGAGGGGCGGGCAGTGATTGCTCATGGAAGCGGGCCGCGTGGGGAACATGTGAGAGACAAGAAGGAAGCAGGGAGCAGGGACTAGAAACGAACGACTAGAAGGGGGCCTGGACTTGCGAGAATTGCTTCTGCGTCCAATTCAACTCTATCATCTTACTCTTTGAGAACTTTTGACTCGTACGTTCACGGGTCGATCAAGGACTGTTGAGTCGTCGGATGATAGAGCCGATGCGGGGGAAGAAGGGATCTTTTGATCCTGGTCCTTGTATGAAGGTAGTAGTAGAAATTGTTGATTTGGCTGGCTGATTGGGTGGGTGGGTGATCATCAGTTGATTTTCTTTTTTCTTTCTTGCTTGCTTGCTTGCTTGCTTGTTTGTTTGCTTTCTCTTTCGATGACGATGACGATGAAGTTGATGATGATGGTCTTGGTGCTGGTGCTGGTGCTGGTGCTGGTGCTGGTGGTTTTGTTGGATCCATTGATTGATTGATCCATTGATTCAATGAATGGGATGCATGAATGAATGAATTACTAGGTAGCGAAAAGTACAGTACCATACAGGATTTCAGACAGGTCAATGCTGCGCACGAGTCATTTGGTACATGCATTATACGACGTACCTTACACTTACTCAGTAGCTGGTAGGGTCTTCAATTCTTTGCCAGCTTTACCATGGTTTGGGCAAGTAGCGACGAGGAGCGACGACAGAGGAGTGCCATTGGCGGAATAGTGTCCGCTCTCCAGTCAAGTGCCCGGGCCGGGATTGGTTGGCAGGAAGATGGCTCCGGATAGCTTCAACCGCCAATCAGCGGGCAGAGAAACCTGCTGAGAACCTCAGGCACCACACCTGCAATCACCTGCAATGACGTGGTGGTGTGGAATCAAATGGATGGCCTGGTTCTTCAGGACCTCCACTTACCGGATTCAGATAGCTACGAAGCTACCCGTGACTTAGTACCGTAGAACTACCGTAGACTACGGTAGTATACTTGAGTACTCCTACTCAGACTCCAGCAAGCACATGTGATGTCAGTTCCCAGGGTTCCTTCTTGGCTTCCAGGCTGGGCTGCTTTGGCTGCTTTGGCTGCGGGTGCCTCTCGGTCCAGTCCAGTCCAGGTTCAAGACGTTCTAGCCTTCTGCTTTTCCTTCCAGCAAGGTTCGCTGCATATCCACGGGCCATTGCAGTGCCTTTCCCTCCCCCCCCCTCCCCCTTCCCCCCCAATTCTTGACACATTCCAGGGCTCCCTCTGAGATTGTCTCAAACAGGAGAGGGATCGACATCCACTGTGCCAGTGGGTGTAGACTACGGAGACTGCTTGTCTGCAGATGTCTGGTCTGTCTGTCTGTTGTCTGTCTGTTGTCTGTCTGTTGTCTGTCTGCTTGTTCTGATCTATTGCGGGTGTGTGTTTGGGCTTGGTAGGTATCACAGGTCTTGATACTGTTCCAATCTTTCGATTCTTTTTCTGCTGCCACCCCCCCTCCTCCCCTCCTCTCCCCTCTTTCTTCTGCTGTACTTCCTTTCTCCTCAACTTGACTTCACCTTTATTCCTCCTCTTCTGCTTTCTTCCCATCCCACTCACCTGCTTGCCCACTACAACGACTGCAACGACTGCTACTATTACTACAATACTGCTATTCCATTATCTCCTATTCGTATCCTCCTTATTGTCATCACTCTCGCTTCTCTCGGACCCCCACTCACTCGCTCACTCACTCACTCTTTCACTCACCACTACTCATCCACCCACTCGCCTCTATACTACTGGTTACACGCACCCATATACTCCCTCCTACCCCCGCCCTCCACTCACACTCTCTACACTCGGCTCGACTCGACTCGACACTCGGGGTCACAATGAATCCCAACTTCAACCGGTACTCCCGGAACTCCCACGTGCGGAACGGACAACCCACCCCGCCTCCTCACGATGAAAACAAGCGAAACAAGCGAAAGTTCTCGCAGATGCAAGTCGCAGGCCCAGTGCAGCAATACCAGCAACAACATCAGCAGCAGCAATACCACCACCAGCAGCAATACCAGCAACAGCTGTCTCAGCAACAACATCAGCAGCAGCAACAAAAGCTGTCCCAGCAGCTTCCCAGCCCTCCCTACGATGATGAGAAGGCCAAACGGGAGCGCTTCCTGGAGCGTAACCGCCTCGCCGCTAGTAAATGTCGGGAGAAGAAGAAGAAGAACACCCAGCAGCTGGAACAGCGGTTTCACGAACTACAAAACAAGAACACCGAGCTCAACACAGAGATCGAGGACCTTCGCGCTGAGGGGATCGCCCTGAAGAACGAGTTGCTGAGGCATAGCGAGTGTGGGGACCCGGCCATCTCCATCCATCTCAGTCACATGGTCCAGAACATCACCGCCAGGGACCACGCGGCTGCAACCCGTCGGTCCGCCGAGATCTCAGATCTGCTGATGATGGGAGATCATGCTGCGGTGGCTACTGGCTCCAGGGTATCGGTTTCTTCCCTGACCAACTCCCCTCCTGGTCTCTCCACCTCCAGGTCGGTTAGTTCGTCGGGTTCCTCCGGCCTCTCGCCTGATGCTGCTGCCGCCGCGGCCGCCTTCGGCTTTGATAGCCCGCCTATGCATATGATGCCATTCGCCAGCGGCTCCGCTAGCAGCAGCCACGACACACACAGCAGCCTCAAGTCGGTCATGGATGGCTCATTGGACTCGATGCCTGAATACGAGTTCCTCGAGGATCTTGCTTTGATGGACTGAATATGATATATGTTGCCGGCTTCAGCTCACCCCGGCTTTACAGCATAGCGGAAGGCCTTCTGATCGACTTTGATTTATTGTTTCATGGAAAAGCCAGCGGGAGTTTATGACTGGTATCACATCTGTCGGGCGGGAGGATGTGTTCGGTGTTTTTTTGTGTCTGAGAGACCTGAAATTGGTGGCAGTGGGAGGCTCACTGATTTGAGGGTTGTTGCTTTTCTTTAGCGATCGATTTGCTTTTGTATGGGCCAGGCGTTTTTGACTATTCTTCAAGCGGGTTTGGGGATTATGGCGTTCTACGGGAAAAGGCAGACACAAGCATACGGGAAAAGGTCACTGCCAGGGATGGGGATTGCTTTCTTTTATTGGGTGAGGAGTATTGCTATTGCTAGTTGGGACTTGATCATCATGGATGTACGGGATGAACGTGATAGTGCTAGCAAGATTGCTATCAATCTTAGAGTCTAATCAACGGACTTGGTGATATCTCGGCGGTGGCTGGTTCTTAGGAGGTGGTGCTTATTATGGCCAAGTGCATTTCCCGGGGTTGTTTAGTGGTACAGTACGGAGTACGCAATAAGGTTAAATGATTTGGTACTCCGTAATCTCTAATGGATGATCTTCGAGACCTGTTCAAAGACCCGAGTAGAAGGTTGTTTTATTTTTATTCTATTTTTTCCTAAAATTTTTGGACTCCATAGACATCGAGCTAGAATCCAGTCCACATTCTACCACTTAGACTACCTACCTTGATTTACTGTACGGAAATACACCAAGTAACTTAATGGATGCAACCAGAGCACCGGAATTCACCCGGATAAGCTTCCAGAAAAAAAAAAAAAAACAATTCCCAGGAAACTAGCTGGCACCTGCATATCGTCCAGTGTGGCTGGAATTTACTTTTTTTGGGTTGGTTTCTTGTTTTTCTTCTTCTTTTGGGCCATTCAATTTCCGGAAGAAGGATTCCTCCTCAGTACATAGTACTCCGTAACGTACTCCGTAACGTACTCCATAGTGCGGATTGTATTGTGGAGCCTCCCCCCCCCCCCCCCCCCCCACCCCCAAACCGGAAAATCCCAGAAAACTTGGAACAGGGTTCTGACTTCTGGATTGTGCTACTCATAGTCTAGCAAATGGAGAGCGGGCAGATCGAGGGAGCGGTTATTCCCGCCGACGTCATTTACTTATACAGTCTCCGTAGCTTGTGCGGTGGCGGTTGGGTTTGCGAGGGTGATTTCCGATCGATCGCTCGTCCACGGTTTATTTTTTTTTTCGGAGGGTGGTGATCACCTGTGTTTTCTGGAGGTTATTGTCTTTTTTCTTTTTCTTTTTCTGTGGTGGGAGGGGGGAGGGATTTTTGGGTGGTTGTCTGGGATATTTGGGGATTGAGATTATTGCTGAGTGCGGAGACTCCGTACTGAGTACGAGTATGTTCTGGATGGGTGCTCTGGTTCTAGTAGGTACCTTAGTCTAAGTTTACTAGAGGCTGGGTTGGGGTTCAATTCAGTTCGATGAGTAGGTAGTCAAGTCTGGATGAGTTAAGTCCACTAAATTACTCTCCCAGTCCGGAATTCTCGGGCTTCTTTCTGCCCCCCGTCTGGGTGATTGGCCTTTCTGGGGGATTGAGGAACCTATCTTCCCAGTTGAATCTGAAGGACGGTACGGAGCTGGACATGTAGCTAGGTTGCTTGGTGCACGATAGGTTACTATGCTGTAGTATGTACTATACATTACAAATGGTAGTCTATTACAATTGAGTAGTCCGTAGTCCACTCTGTAAAGTGATCGAGTCTAAGTCTAATTCAGTCTAGTCTTATCTATATTCTGTAGAAGGTATCTATTATCTGTAGTTAGTATGGAATCCAAATTGAACGGCATAGGTATAGTACTAGGTATACCTTCCCCCCGAGACCCACACCCACCGGATTTGGGAAACCAAGTTTGGATGCATTTAGCAGCGTAGATAGGGTAGGTATTTTCTAGCAGGGTTCCTCCTTTGGATGGAGACGCTAGTTGACTTATATTGAGCACAGGTAGTTGGGTGGACTACGGAGAGAGCTTACTGGGTATATCTCAAAGAATTGAAGTGTTTCCTTTTTTTCATTCTTTTTTCTTAGTACAGTACAGTACAGTACTGCCCGGCGCTGCTGGGGTGGCCCCACCAACGCCCATACTCACCACTTTGACCGGGGGATTCTTCCGTGTGACTACTGCTAAGTACCTAGTGTAAGATTGTTTTTCAATTCAGGGTGAGGGAGTATGTGAGTCTTTAGCATTCTGGAACACCACTTGTGATAGATAATACAAGGTGAAGTGGTGTGATGAGAGGGCTAATTTACTCTCTATATTATTTACGGATTACTGTGTAGCGCGTTCTCGTAGGACCTGAATATATAGAAAAAAAGTTGATGATAATGTTAACTCTGTGTACTTAACTTACTCTCTGCTTAGTTCTTGCAGTGCTTGTCGGTGATTCGAATCACAATCACCAAATCAAGGAAATCTATTTTATTGTTAGGGAGAGTTTGCCCTAACCACAAGATGGTACATTGCAAAATGGGCGGAAGCAATCTTCAAGAGAGGGCTTTTTTAGTGCAGTATAGATGGTTTGGCTTTGCAGAAAGTTTTTTTTTTTCTTTCTTTTTTCGGTCATGATAAGACATCAAAGTACAGTAAGTGAGCTTTCCTCGACAGGACACAAAATAAAGAACCACATCAGTGTCTTCTCCGTTTGTGGTGCCCGAACACTCAACCAGACAATTGGGGATATTAGATCAATCGTCATGTATCTCTTAAGCAAATGTTCTTGTGATGACAAACGTGTATAGCTAGTAGAATATGTGGAAGTCTGCCGGATATAGAGAGGGCTACGATAGTGCTCTTTGTAGATAGCTCATCGACAGAGTGCAGGCCATTACACAAAGAACTATCAGACAAGGGATCTATATCAGCCGCAATAATACATATCCCAGTTCCGGAGGGCTTGCGAGCATTAGACATATATATCTGCCACAAGCAGTCTGTAGATCTTTTAAACACATAGTGATATTCTGTGCTCTTTACATCTCTTTGTTGGTCACTTCATCTAAACATAAACCCATATGCCATTCTCTAAGCAGCAGCATCGGAAACCGAGCCGCAACCGCAACCGCAACCGCAACCGCTCTACTTGTCATCCTCCTCCACGATTTTGGAACGACCTCACTAAGCTGTGGTTGACTAAAAGCGCCTTGAAAGAAGCTCACCGACAATTCCAACTGCTCTGTCCAAGCCAGACCTCCGTTTTCAACTCTTACACCTTCGCCTCTGATTTCTTGCGCCGTTGCTCTGCCACTTCTTTACAAAGATCAGAAGATCTACCCGCGGTGGAGAACCAGATCTAGCAGATATTCGAAATGTCACTACGTGACCCCCCCCCTTGTACCGACCCGTAAAATACTAAATCGCCTTCTTTGCTTCCAGTATCCTGCACCAGCCAACGTCCAGCAACCCTCTCTGGATCCTCCCCACTCCAGCCCAACGCCAATGACTGGAAAAACCACTGTGTATGATCGACATTTCGAGGACCATTTGCTGAACCATGGGGTTTCCTACCACTATCTACCTACCCCGATGGGACGGAGCCGCCCGAACCAGAGAACTTGGCCGAAATCCAACGGAGATCGCAGGCTCCACGACCCTCGCGTGTACTATCGCCGGACTCACTGAAGAAGAAATACAAGGAATTTACCAGGGTCAATAGCAGAGCCATTGATGAACAGCTAGTGATCAAGGATATCCTACCTCTTCTTGAAGGCAAACCAACCGCTTCTTCTTTTCCTTCTGGAGGACACCGCTTCACGAACCTGGCTCCGTTGACCGACGGGACTCTCCCCAACGCGAAGCCGGATTTCTACTACGGTGCACGATCCAACCAGCTCGAGCCGGCTGTTCGACAGGCGCTGAATGACCAGATCATCCCATCCACCCAAGACCACGGCTGTTGCCCAGTGGCACCGAACTTTTTCGTCGCGGTCCAAGGTCATTGTGGGGCTGCGCCTGGAGCCATGCGGCAGGCTTGTCATGAGGGTGCTCTGGGCGCGCGAGCGTTACATTCCCTCCAGCTCTTTGGGCATGGGAAGGGGAATCCAGGTGACTGCAGACCGACATATGACAACAAAGCCTACACTACGATGTGTACGTATCATAGTGGGTGTCTGGGCATTTACGCAACCCATCCTACAAGGTCTAGGAGCCACTCCAACCACCAAGACTCTTCTACTCCTACTACGACTGATTATGTGATGACCCAGGTCGGGCAATGGGCGTTACTCGGCGATCCCGAGACCTACCAGCGGGGCGTGACTGCCTATCACAATGCGCGGGACATGACCCAGGAATTTCGAGACCGGTTGATCCAGCAAGCGAATGCTCGATATACAGCTGGTCAAGACCACCAGTTCCCCGGATCTCCACTCGAACCACGACGGAGGCGGCGGATGAGCCAAGCACCCGGCCGAGGGTTTTGTGGTAGACCCAGCCGGGCGTCTCGGCTTTGTGAGAGAGAGTGATGGGTGAGAGTGCCTACTCAGTAAGCTCCAACTTACCTACTACTTCTACTGTACATATGTTAGTAGGAAGTAACGTAACTTCCGTAGTATCTGAGATGTTCAGCAACACAACACAATTGGTCAGTAAGATTTTGGAAATAAGCCACTTAGGTACTTCATTCGATTTGCCAAACTGTACTGGATATTACGCATTGTACTGTATTCCGAGTAACTTATCCATGATGTATCAACAAGTGAACCCAAGTAAGTCGTGTAGACCAACCAACTGAGTCAATACTGGTATACATGGGTACTAGTACTGTAACCCCTTTCGGCCGACGAAAGATCCGACCGTGCGCCGCGAAGGTTTTCAAGATTGGAAGCCCTGGCATTCAAACAGAAACCTCACTTTGACTTTTTGGTTTTGACTTTTCCACATGATTTCACTTCGTCATAGCGCTTCAGTTTGTCAGCGTACGGAGTGTCGCGGAGGGTTATCTGTGCAATACGCATTCCAAGATCTTCGAAGAGGTTATTTCAAAGTTCCCCTACCCTGTATGGATAACCCAAGCCTTGATAAAATTCAGGTAACCCGTACGCGGGGCAACTTCCAAGGTAAAGTGTTGAGGTTGGTACATATGAGATAACTACAACGCTCGGAAGATAATTCCCCTCTCAACTAGAGACATGGCTACTCTCCAGCCGCCAGAGAATAACAAAACTCGGCCCATCAAGCGAGGTGCAAGTCACAGTCCGACTCGCAATCAGTTTCACACTGAACAGCGCGACGCCGAAGACTCCGTATGCGGCGGGCATCCAAATAGTCCGGCCAGCTACAGTACCAATCCCAAAACTCCGGAATGGAGTCGAAGCGCGGCCTGCGCCCGTAAATCACAGTAGGCGCCAGGACACATCCCCCTTGTCGTCAAGGACAACGACCCGCCACGCCCAATTCCGGATATTGGGGGCGTCGGGAATCGCATCATCCCGCTGCCGGCAGTAGAGATAGGCACTATACCAGTGAGGGTGTTCCCCGATATAGCCCGTGCCCGTAACCACACCAGCCGTGACCTCCAGATCATCGGCCTCGACCGACGGGCCAACCATCGATTTATGGATGAGATCGCCAATCCCGTCGGATTCCAGGTACTCCCGCCACCTGCGCGCACTCTTCCCGGACCAGCGCACGGTACCGCTCGGGCTGCGTCTCCGCCAACGCAGCCTGTTCCTCGGATAAGAGCATCAACCCCGGCTCAAAGCCGGGATGGCGGAGAGGCGGAAATCCCGGTCCTCGACCGCGTCGGCGTACTGCAGGAACACGCCCAGCTCGTCGCAGCGGGGAACCAGCCCGGGGGGTTGGGGGGCCTCCTGGCCTCGCTCCGCCGCCCACCCCGCCGCCTGCTGCTGGAAGACTTGCTGGAGCATATCCGGGAACTGCTCGCGGGCTTCGTGGGTCCGCAGTCGCGGCGGGTGCACCCCGTCCAGGGGAAATGGGAACACCTTCAAGGTTGTCCACGTCCGTGTCCAACGCCGCGGGAAGATCCACCAACCGCGGCGGAAACTCGTTCTCCTCCCTCTCGTTCGGTAGGTAGATGTGTCGGTACTCGACCATCTTCTGCCATTTCACTTCTTCGTTGGCCAGGCCCCGGGCTTCGATTTCATCCACGCGATCCTGGATGAATTTCCGGTTGGCCGTGGCCATCCGCACGCGGAATCGTTCCAGTGCTTGCTGCATTGGTCTGTTCAGCGTTCGTGGGAAGACGCCATTGTTTATCAAGATTGGTTTTTGATGGAATTCTGGGAGAGTGTCAGTGGGTTTTGGAGGGGTTGTTTCTCTATCCCTCGCTGGGACGCTTGCAGGTTTGCGTGCGAAGGTTGGGAGTGATCTGAGGCGCTTTAGCAAATGAGACTCGCGGAATGAATGGATCAAACCGGTAGAGATGGGATTATGACAAATCAAGACCAGACTCCACTGGCAATCGTACATGACCTTACTGAGTATTTTTATTTGATGCAGTGGGTGCAGTGCAGTGAGTGTTCAACTAGGGCGGGGAGGGGGGAGATAAGCTCAGCTGGTTTACAGTATCTTCGCCGGTGGAAGTACAGCGGCAGCAGGGTTTGGGTCTTTGGTTTGGCTTGGCTTGGCTTAGGCTAGGCTAGGCTAGAATAGAAGCCTAGAACTGATCTCGGGCTAGTGGGGGCCTTCCGTTCGAAGTTTCCGGGTTCTGGGCCCCCCATCGCTCCCTCGGCCGGATGTCGGGCGTAATTCTGTTCTTCTGTGTTTTGGGGTGGGTTTGGGTGAGATTGGTGGTGGTGGTGGTGGTTATGATTACCTTAGTGGTGGGCTTGAGTGGGCGCTGAGGACTTCGAGAACAATATCAATTAATGGGTAGATCGAGTGACAGGAAGGAGCGGGGGTCTGCCTCGATGTTACATCGCTTCAGTTTAGGTTCTGACGGTTCTGATTCGTAATTAGCCCTACGGTATCTTCCTTTGTCTGATTTTGTTTAAATATTTTGAGATGAGATGTAAGAGAAGACGAAGGGCCGAGGCCACTGGACTGTGCAAATAAAAACAAACTCTGGACAACATCACTCTACATCATCCCCGTCCCTACTGCTGACACCTTCATAACCCGCATCCGCAACCGCAAACAAAGAATCAATCTCCTCTAACCCCATCCCCCTCGTCTCGGGCAACAACCCATACACCAGCCCCGCGAACCCCGCATCCAGCACCCCGAACAACCCAAACGTCCCCCACCCCAGCCCCTGCAGCAGGTACGGCGTCGCACACGACCACCCAAAGTTCGACAGCCACTGTGCCGCCACCCCCATCGCCACCCCGGGCTCGCGGATCCGCGCCGACGAGAAGAGTTCCGCGCTGCACGGCCAGGGGAGGGGCCCCCAGGACAGGTTGTAGGCCACGATGCTGAGGTAGATCAGGAGGATGGTGGCGAGGGAGGCGGGCGAGAGCAAGGAGGATCCATGGTCAGGGTCTGAGTCAGGGTCAGGGGTGGCATAGGCAGGTGATGATGGCGATGACGGCGATGACGACGATGGCGGAGCAACCGAGGTGGTTCGCAGAACGGCTGCCGTAGCAAGCATGCACACCGACATGGCCAATGCACCCAGAATCAGCAACGGCCGACGGCCGAAGCGGTCGGCCACAAACACAATAAACAGCAGGCAGCTGATCACCTTCAGAAACCCAAAGATCCCCGTCAGCAACAAGGTCAGACGGGCGGTGGCGTCGGAGGCCGTTGAGACGTCACTGCTGCCCCCGACGAGCAGGGCGAAAAACTGCGGGCCGAAGTAAGCCATGGCGGTGGCCCCCGTGGACTGCTGGCAGACGAACAGGGCGACGCCCAGGATCAACCGATGCGCGTTGGCGCGCTGGAGGAGCTCCCGGGGGGAGAAGTCGGCCGTCGCGTGGGCGTCGCGCTCGATGGCCGACTGCATGGCCCGGAACTCGGCCTTGACCTCGGGGCCGCGCGAGGCGCGGATCCACGTCAGGCTGTCCCAGGCTTGGTCGGCGTGGTCGTGGGAGAGCAGCCAGCGCACGCTTTCGTGCAGAGTCAGCATGCCCACGCCCATCAGAGCGCCCGGGATGAGCTGCAAAGCCAGCGGGATCTGCCACTGTGCGGCGCTGCTGGGCGCGTACTGCATCCCGTAGTCAATCCAGTACGAGATCAGGATGCCGATCGTGAAGGTGAACTGGTAGCAGCTGCCCAGCCGGGCACGCATTGAGGTTGGGCTCATCTCCGTCAGATAGATCGGGATCACGGTAGCTGAGCCTCCGATACCCAGGCCGCAGATGACACGTCCGAGGTAAAAGGCAGGCCGAGCATGGGTGTCGAGGATCTCGAAGATCACCCCCGCACAGAAAACAACGGAGCAAATGGCCATGGCAGGGCGACGACCGAGTCGGTTGGTCAAGGGCCATATTACCAAGCTGCCAACCAGGGCGCCAGCCTGCTGGACGCCCACGGCAATGGCACTAACGCGGGTTTCATTCTGTGAGGTATATCGAAAAGACCGGTGGAAGGAGTCGAAGGTCAAAACCCCTCCTGCATGTATGTGTCATTCTTATGGCCTTGCCCTGTGGGATAGAAATCAAATACCGATCACGCCAGAGTCGTACCCGAAGAGCAGGCCCCCGCAGCAGACTATGGCCGTCAGCCAATACAGACGGAATAGGGCATGGCGGGACGGCAGCGGAGCAGAGGATTCCTCTGCATGCTGTATGAGAGGATCCTCAGGACGGATATCATCCTCAGTCACCAAGACAGAGGACCTCATCATGGGCCATACCCAGCAAACCAGATACCCGGCGCGACTGAGAGAGATATATGTCAGGGATTATGACAAGAAGTAAGGAGGTCTTCCGCGAGAATTGCGAGTCAGATGACGTACCGGCGCTTACGTGTTGCATGCAGCGGTCGGGGCGCCGATCATGATCGGCTATCAATCAGATCATCACGAAGGAATCAGTAAACAATTCCCGGCGCACACAGCGCGAATCCGCCCACGTTCGCGACGCATCCTGCCGCCTGGTCATCTCCTGCAGCAGGAGATAAACATTTTCGGCATGCGGGTGTCGCGCGGGCTGAGATTGGTCCTCACTGTTCTCACCTCGCTGGCTCATCTGCTTCATCTGCGACAAGATCCATTGCCGCTGCTCCAAGGATGCCTCCAGGCCAGCCACAAACAACGGCCACACGAAACTCGCAGGCAAATGTCGCTTCTCTCCTGCAGGGGACTGTGTGTCGATTGCTGCCAGATGAAGAATGCCTTCCACAGCTCGATGCACTCGATCCGTCCGCGGATAGATGGCGAATGCGACGCGGTGCAAGTAGATGAAGATCGCCAGGAAGTTGGCAATGTACTGTCTGAAAGTCTGGCATGCTTCCCGCGCAACCGCAGGCTGTAGAGTGTCGTGGAGCAGCTCGGGGCTGCTGTGGATGTCGAGCACGCGTGGACGTCGGTTCCAGAGCGTTTCCAGGTCGGCGCTTATCTGATGCGCGAGCTGGAGAACCTCGAACTCGTCACTAACAGTGCCGCGATTTCGGTGGTGTAGGTCTATGCACACAATCCGCCGGAGAATCTGTTGCGTCTGCAGAAGAAACTGAAAGGCCGGACCGGTGACTGCTTCACGGATGAGGAACGCAGGCTCGGGGCTGTCCTCATCCGCACTATGGCTTTCCTCAATTGGTAGGACCCCAGCATCCCTTCCTACTGGCGCAAGGCTCCCCAGGCCAACGAGCGGATCGCCCTCACGCCCAGCGATTAATGCTTTGACGTCTAACAGCGAGACCCAGGAACTGATCAGGCGGCTCACGCCCGTCCAGAGCCTAGTCCGGCCATGGAAGCGTTGTAGGAGTAGATAGGCTGAGTGGAGGAAGGACGTACCCGCTTCCCCCAGGTCTGGACTCGACAGATGCTATTTGGTGAGTCCACGATCCTGCAAGTCTCTAGAGAATCACCTACCTCCGCCAACATCAACATCAGCACCGTTGTGAAAACGTGCCTGAGCACGGGCTCTGGTACCTTCATGACTAGACATGACTGCACTTCTGACCACGCCAGCTGATGGTACCTGGACTTGCGGTTGCGGTCCCACGCCGTCCCCTCGACCCACGTCTGATGCACCTCCGAATAACAGTAGATACCAAGTAAGACAGCTCGACAGTCTCGCGACTGACGCACGATCTGTGCTCGCACATACTTCCAATCCAGGTCGACGGGGCCAAAGATTGTAGGCGGCGGATCGCTTGTCTCGAAATGCGCGAACAGTCCCGCTTCGTAAGGCGTCTGTTCGTGATGGGGGGCATCCGTCTCTCCAGAAGGACAATCGCCTAAACTACCAGAAATCGAGCTCATGTCCGCGCTAGAAGCCCAGTTCATCGTTTGTGCATGGTTCCTGGTGGATTCTGTAGTGGTAGCGACACTAGCAAGCTCAGGTCCCGCCGACAAGCCAGAGGGCCCATTCGTGGTTAGGTCGAGGTGCTTCTGCTGAAAGTCAGCGGTAAACTCCCCAATGAAACCGAGGATATCGAACGAGGAGACTAAGTCGACAGCTGACTCGGTAGGCGGATGGGCAGAGGCTGGCTGTCGTAGTGGTGACGAGGCTGGAACTCCGTCTTCACATAGGACAGTGTGGAAGAAGTTCACGTCGGGACGGTCAGAGGGTGTTCCAGCAGCCACGCTTGCGGAGGCTGCAGGACCATCCTGGCAGTTGATTCTTCGTGAGGGGATGCGGCCCGCGACAATGGTCTTGTAGGTACATGGGAGACGCAGACGAGTGCAGTTCGCACATGTCGGTTTGACCTCGTCGCACCGCACCTTGCGCGACCGGCACGTCAGACACCCCGTGCGGCGGCGGGGACCTGATCGGCCCATGCCACGTGCTCGAGTAGTCTAGCATAGTTAGTATACAGTCTTGTGAGATAAGGTGTCTGCAATGTGCGAGGGCAGATACCTCCATGGTCCCCAGATCTGACCTGAACAGGAGCATGCATGATGAGTGTCTGTTGGCGTCGAAGCGCATGAAGCGGGACTGACGATCACCCAGCGTGGGTTCAGGAACCGTCGCCGGGAACACCCGCCGCGGACCGCGCTGCGTCTACGGAATCACAAGGGAACAAAGAATGGCCTACACGTAAGGTGGATGTATTTACTGGAATCATCACTACTATATGACATAAGACCGTCCTGCTTTCTTCACGGTACCCTGTGGTAGAGCACCTCCCCAGGTACAAGCCGCTTCTTGTCCCCACCGAGGCATTTCGACGTATGGAGCAAATGTCCCCGTTCCTTGCGCACATACGCCGCAAAACAAGCTGCAGCCATCGCGATGGCACCGTAGCTGATATAAACTGGGTACTTGAACTGTTCCGGTGAGGGGAAGGCGATGGTAGTCGCGAATGATAGCAGCTCGAAGATGTTTTGGAGAGCCATTTCCGTCGCGGAAAACCGAGCCCGGCAATCTTCGTCGACTCCCTGCTCTCGTCAGCATTGGGCCTCTTCCTAGCAGTAGGCCTTCTTACCTCTTGCACCAGAAACTGTACGGACAGATCGAATCCCCATAGCCCAATCCGACTGAGCGCCACGCCCACGATCAAACTGACAGCGACCACCTGGGAAGAGGGGTCGAGTAAGGCAAAGGCCGCCACCGCTGTCACCAGACAGACGAACTGCCAGTTCAAGAACCACAACCCAGACCGTATGGGTCCGATTCTACTCATGATGAATGGAGCCGCCCAAGTCCCGGATAGCTCCGCCGCCACAGCACCAATCCTCATTGCGCTCACTTGCAGGGGTGTGAAACCGGTGTGAAGCAGGTAAGTGACCATTGTCGCGCCAAAAGACAAGACCGTCAGATAGAGTAGACTCAAAGCAAAGCTGGCTAGGAAGAGGGGACTTCGAGTGTACTCTTTCCACGGAGCTGCAGCGTCTTTGATCCGCTGCTTAAATCGCTGAGCTACGCTCCGAGTTTCAGTCGCACTGCCCAGGGCGCGCTCCGATCCAGCCGCTGGCATATGACGCCCCAGCTGAGAAACTGAAGCATAGACCTGGAATTGGTGAGCATTGAATCAGACACGAGACGGCCCATCATACCTGTGCGATGGCAACATATTCAACAGCAACACAAGACACGTTGACCCCCAGGGTCGTCCATATAGCAGCTTTGGTGGAGAAGCCGTCAACCAGCGAAATGAATATGGGGGCAATGAGCTTGCAGAAAAGATCTATTCTTCTCATAGATGCGTTGAGGTCTACTCAGTCAGCTTACATCGAGCCAGATATGCTAGAGGGCTCCTACCTTGACGAGGTATCTCCAAAGCATCTGCCACAACAATGGCCTGCTCAGCACGTCAGAAAATTACCGTGCAGTCGTGCATGTCATGAACCTACCCAATCCCGCTCCACTGCTACTGTATTGGCCGTGGCGGCGAGTTTCTCGAAACAGGCCAGCACCACTGTCGCTACGAAGAGAAGGATCCTCAGCGTCGAGTTCGAAGAAGCAAGTAGCACCACAAAGCAAGCACAGGAGCCCGCTACGGGGAGTCGCTGCCAGACTAGGATGCTGTTAGCATATTATCGACTGGAAGGTCAAGAACCATCTGCGTACCGATCGAGTGTCTAAGTGCAGTCAATCGATTGGATCGGTCCACAACCGAACCGAGCCATGATGACAAGACAACGGCCGATAAGGACCGCACGAGTGCGTAGATTGAGGCATATAGCAGGGTTCCGGGGAAGATGGACGCCAGGAACAGGACCGCGCCGAATTCAAACATGCGGGAGTTCCATGTCGAGAGAGAGTGAGAGATGTAGAGTCGTAGCAGAACTCGTGATGAAGCCTTTGAAGACACCGTATGTGGGCTCACTGGTCTGTCGATCAGTGGTTCGTGGGCAATTAGAGAGCTCGATGTCTCGTCCGGTTCGGAGGTGGACGGGACCATGGCGGGACGTTCAATTGCAGGATGGTCGCATCACACAAAATACTTTCAGTCAGATTGATGTTCAGGACATCGCAAACTGGCAGCGTAGATCGCGCACGTGTAGAGTAGCGATTGGTAACCTTGAAATTGCAAGGAGGACTTGAAGGCAAGGTGCAGCGGAGGGTGAATTCCGAGTGGGCTGAGGAAAGAGAATGAAAGTAGCCGTGGTTCGTTCGCCGGGTGAGAACCGCGGGAGCCTAATAGAACTACTGACTGTACTGTAGATCCATGGATATGTGCTGTATTGTACACAGCATCGTTCAACATGTACTACTTCAAATCGACGCATGAAACAACATGAAAATTGATTCATCAGATAATTATTCTCACATGTCATTCATCAAGCTGTCTAAGAAACTGCTCGCAACGAGACCAGCACCGTTGACGAACTTTTCCGAAAGAAATCCCCAGGGTCACTACTCTCCGACTCAGCTTTGTAAGAGAACAGTTTCGTAGCAATACCCGCAAGGCAAAAGGCATATGAAGACATGATCCCGCTCCCTCACATGCATTGCTAAGGTATGATGTTCAAAAATGTACAGCAAACACGGTAAAACTTTATATCCAGATAGGCAGCAGGCAAGTGGGGCATGAAGAGTGGGTGAGAAGGATGAATGCATCGCGATTCCTGTCACGAGTAAGATAGAACAATAGGAAGACATTAGAGCGCTGGGATTAAGATTTGAAGCTTTCTTGTCTTCGCCCGCCGACTATGAAAAAACCCTCACGCATGAATCCGCACTTCCAGTGGCCAGGATGCACCGGATCTTCTTGTTCGCCTCCTGTCTTTGAGCCCCAGGACCAGCCTCAGTGGTCTCTTCTGTGACAGCATCATCCGTCACCACATCGGGAGCCCACCTAATGCAGCTGACAAAGTGTCCATGCGCGTCGCTAATGGTCTTGACGAGCTTGGCTTCCTGTGAGAGATCCCAGCACCGGATAGTCTTGTCGTCCGCCACACTGACCAGATATTTGCCTCCAGGATGGAACACTAAGCCTCGGACCCAGTTATCATGACCGACCAAGGTCTTGATCAGCCGTCCCCGCGAGTCCCAGAGTCTGATCGTCTTGTCACGAGCCCCGGTCGCAACAAATTCGGCTGAGCTGGTTGCAGGGGGGGGCTTCTTCAAGCCAGCCAAGGTTGCTAGATACTTGTAGCTGGCTGGCGGCGCGAAGACACAGCATTCGAGATAGTTCTCATGACCCAATAGTGTAGCCTTCGCCTCCGCCGTCGCAACTTCCCACACAGTGGCGGCCTGATCTCGGCCACCCGACACCAGCCATTTCCCGTCAAACGAAGGGGAGACGTCTCGAATCCAATTATCATTCGAACGGATTGTCTTGACGCAATAGCCCGTGGATGCGTCCCATATACGGATGGAGGCATCGCGACTGGCCGACACGAGCAGATTTCCGTTGTTGGGCAGGAAGCTGACCGCCGAGACGGAATGGTCGTGTCCGGAAAGAGTTCGGATATTGGCATAGTCGTTGCTAGGGTCCCATAGTTTGACTGTAAGGTCACTTGAGCAGGACGCCAGCAGTGTATGCCCTTTTTGTCCGCCATAGTCCAGACCCGAAACTGCCCGCATGTGGCCCTTGAGTGTCCTCTCCAGTTCCCCTAGTTCCCAATCCCAGATCTTGATGGTGCAGTCTTCGGAGCCCGACGCCAGCGATGTGTAGACAGGATGGAAGGCAACGCAAGTCACTGCATCGCGGTGCGACTGAAATTTGTGCCGCGCCGGTGATGAGGGGAGCCAGCTCGTAGGGTCTTGGTTAGGTCGTGATCGGGACGTCAAGGCCATGGAGTCCAATTCGGCCTGCAAGGTCGACACCTTCGACTCTAAGTCCATGATCTTCACTGTCCGTCAGCGCATGCGAACCCCTCTCCCGGTCCCGCGCCCAGGGCAAGCGGTTGGTGATTTCAAGCGGGGTAGGGAGAAAAATGCTCTCACCTTCCTCTGTAGCCGAGCCACGCTCGTCCATTTTTTCTCCAGCAGTCCCTCATATTTCTTGCATGCGGTGTCGTCAAAGCCGTCGCCGATCGGGAGCTCTTCGCGTATGGTCGCAACGCTTCGGGTAGCATTTATGGAAGATAGATAAGCTATTAGGGACTTGTGCCTAGCCTTGTATCAGTGGATCAGCAGACAACTCAAATCGGAATTCGCAGAGAAGCTTACAGCTCCTCTGCTTGTCTTGTTGTCAACGTTTGACTCATGACGAGAGATATGAAGTTGGGTGGATTTGAAAGCGATTTCGGGTTGCGGCCGCCAGAGGGCGACGCACTTCGTCACACAGACGAGCAATCGGGAGTGGTTGCTGTTGCGGTCACTGTGGCAGTCGGATTGGGGAATTGAGAGAGATAAAAAAGTTCAGAGCATGACAGAAAATCAGGGAGGCAGAAATTTAAAGGTTCGGGTGGTCAAACGCAAAATTGAGTGAATGGGAATCATGAATTCCTTTGCTTTGTATACAGTCGGTTTCGCGCGTGCAGCGCCCAGGGGCCGCGGGACCTGTGGGCACGTGTTTCGATCTAGAGTGGGCGGTGAAGGCAAGAATCCAATGAGGGAGCATTTGCTCACAAGGCGGGGTATTATGCTGCTGAGTCAGATCACTACGCTGCACAGTCGGTTTGCCTGGTGGTCGATATCTCTCTACCTTCAAGCCGGTAAGACAAGGCTGGAAGCACTTTGTTCAGGATACAACCTTCTAAGACTTTGAAGATCTGTGTTAAAACAGCCAGACATGCACATACATGATCTACCCACCATGTGAGTTGTGATCATGTGATTCCCTATTCAACATGGCATGGAACTCGCCTTCTTCTATTGCACATTTTAATGGTATCATAATAGTATCTAAGAAATCTGTTCGTAGGTGAGAAACAAGTATTCACCCGTGTCTTTTCACTCCCATTGCGTGCCCTTCAGGCGCTGCATCAGGTAATCGACCTCGACGACCTTGGTAAGGGGAATGACATATTCCTAGAAGACAATCAGTGAACTTCCAGACCTCATAGTAGAGGAGTATTCTCACCTTGTACATCGCAACCACCGCCTCGACATTGATTTTGGGTCCGCTCTCCGTGGGAAAGGCGGGATCGGTGCCGTATGTCTTAGCCTTCAACGCCAGGCGCTCGAGAACCTTCTGTTCGACCTTCGCATCGGTGATAGCAGCATCAATACCCTCGCGGTCATTGGCCTTGATCAGTTTGACGAAGCGCTCGGGTTCCTTTTGGAACTTGGACTCGGCGACAAACTTGCCGAAATGGATGCGACGCGAGAGGGCCTGTAGACAGCTGACGTCGCAGGTAGCCGAGGAGCCATAGTTTTCCTGGGTTTCGCCGCGGTCTTCACGGCCGAACTGAGCGCAGACGGCGGGAAGAATGTTCTCAATGTAGCGTTGCTTGATGATGCCGTTGACGTTCACGTCATTGTCGTGCAAGATTCTGGGGTACTGCAGGGGCGCCAGGATCGGTTCTTCCAGAACCTCGGGGAAGAAAGGGTATTCATCGGGCGACTGGTAGCGACGGACGCGGGACTGAATGCGTTCCTGCTCGCGAAGCAGGTAGTCCAAGAGGCTGATATCATTTTCGGGGATTGAGACACCGCCGGGAGTGTAGACGGGCTTGTTGAGGGGAAACTGGACTCGTTCGATCAAATGAAAAGTGATAGTGTCTTCAAGTCGGCTATAGGAAGCAGATTAGTGGGCTGTTCTATGATTCTAGGGAGTGAGGCTAAGTGGTGAGGTATGCAATGAAATTGAAGCCATACGACGGTGGTGGGAGGGGGCGAGTAGCAGGGATGATGGTCGACCGTCTTAAGAATGAGGGGATCTTCGATAGTGACGGACGGACGGAGGGGCAGGATTATTTCCGGCTGATCGTCGACTCACATTAGCTGGAAACGGATGTTGGCAAGATCCAACGCCTTGGAGGCATCGGAAAGATCAATGGCTGTATCCATGATGTTGCAAGATTATCAGTTTATGAAAGAAAAGAATTCAATTTTACTATCGGAAGCAGAGAATCGGCGACGTAGAGGTTTCAAACATTCCTTGGGAACGATATCGGATTTAAGTGCTGGGCAGGTTACAGAACCTACAGCACTAGCCTTGCCGATCTCCACGGCTCTGACTCGATTTTGAGAGCGGCATAAGGACTACATTCCGACGGCTGCACAAATTATACGAGCTCAATGCGCGATAGCAAACTAAGATCCCAGTATTTGGTTCATGATTTGTCGCCGGATTTTGATTGTAAGGCGCCCTGACAGGGAGGACTAGGTCACTTCTAAATCCGATTTATACATCTATACGTGGTATTTACGGTAATCTAGGTACTGCTGGGCCGACTTCGGGGAGCTGGTACCGTACCATAGGCGGTAGGTAATTTAGGATGATCACAGGTTTGTGGCTGGTGATGCCGTCATGTCATGTGCCTGTTCCTTCTCTTTTCCTTGCCTGCCTTGCCTAAATCTGGAGAGGGAGACTCGCTGATGGTTGGGAAAAGACCTTTGAATATATATGGGGATTCGATGCACTTTTCTTCTGGCGTCATGTCGATTCTCTTCGGTTCTATCGCTCACCTCTCATACTATCACGCACAGCCACCGTCCTCTTCTCCCTTCCTTGGGTGGAGACTGAGCTCGAGCTCTCTCCAGTAAAATACCACCCGAAACACGGTAATTCATCGCGTGCAACTCCGTCGATCCAGAACTTCTTTCCGCAATCTTCAAGGCTTGAAGAAAGCCGACCAACTGCCCGACTGACGACCGCACCCTGCTGAACGACCCTTTCCTTTCCCAACGCTGCAACTCTCGTATGGGCTTGAGTGCCTCAAGCTCTCCTTCGCCCCCCTTGTCGGTGTTGCTGTCATGGACAGGCGCCGTCGTGATGATTCGCCTTCCGGTCTATCAGATATTGTCGAACAGGATGGTCTTCTAGGAACCGGCATCACGGTAGTGTTCTCTTGACGTTGTTGGCGGCAGAACAGATCAATACTGACATGGCACTCTATCCGTGGATCAGACTCGTCATATTGAGGCCTTTGGACGGAAAGTCACATCGACTGCTGGGCATTTGATGGGACCGACTTCCGAATCTTCCAACGGCGGCCACTACCACAACGCCATGGTTGACATCCAGCGCGAGCTGCGGCGCCCTGCCGCTCAGCGCAATGTGTTCTCCCTGACCCAAACCACACCTACCGATTTGGTCCGCTCTAAACTGTCTACATCCGAGATCCAATCGCGAGCCATCTCCTCCCTTCCTGATGAGCTTCTCATGAACATACCTGAGGACAGCAGCTCCTACTCGCTCTTCCAAGGATTTCAAGCCTCCCAAGATGATATTGAATATCAAAAGGCCCACCGCCGGCGCTCGTCCAAGAGCAAGAAGCTATTGAAGGATGGGGAAACGCACGCCGCTTTACCTTCCGCGCCCACCGACTTGAGAAAGGAACGAGATATACTCAGCCGCAGGATGGACCTGATGGGTGTTCGCAAGAATATGTGCAGCTCGGAGATACATGAGATAGACAATAAGATCGCAAACTTGCACAACATGCGCAAGATTGTTCTAGACCGGTTAGCCAGCCTAGAGATGGAGGAAGCCGAACTGGAGCATGAATGTGAGCAGGAATTAGGGTTACCATATGCGATCTGGGCCAGCGGCTGACCAAAGCTTAGTGACGGAGGTTGATAATAAGTTGGAAGATATTGAACAAGACGAAGCAGCTCACGCGCAGGCTCAGGCCCCGGCAACCCCAAAGTCATCAGCAGCAAACGATGACTCGACCATCTCGGAAGACCCGGCAATGGATGCATCCTTCATGTCTGAGTCTATATACCAAAAGATTCCTTCCCCTAAGAGCGTCAAACAGAAATCAATAAGTAAGTCTCTCCCTCTACTATGCCGCTGGGGAACACTGGCTGACAAAACAGGGAAACGCTCGATGCCGATTTTACATGAACATTTCAGCCCGGGTTCGGAGATCAAAGAAATGACGGCTCATTCCGACATGGTCACTGCGATTGATTTCGACTATCCATTTGGTACTATGATCACCGCGGCGCTGGATGACACCGTGCGCGTTTGGGATCTCAATGTTGGCCGTTGCATTGGATTCCTGGAAGGGCATAATGCTTCGGTGCGCTGTCTTCAGATTGAGGACAACATTGTTGCCACGGGCTCGATGGATGCATCTGTCAAATTATGGGATTTGAGTCGCGCCCGAACGATGACCACTCGCGACAATCGCATTACCCGCCGCGATGATGGAGACGAAGAAACCATCCCAGCCGACGACGCTTCGGTGGCATCCCATTCCACCACGCTGGAGGACTGCTTCGTCTACTCATTGGACGCTCATGTCGACGAAATTACCGCGCTTCACTTCAAGGGCGACACGCTGATTTCCGGGTCAGCCGACAAGACACTGCGACAGTGGGATCTGGTCAAAGGGCGTTGTGTGCAAACGCTCGATGTATTGTGGGCGGCCGCGCAGGCGTCGTCGCTGGGAGGAGATTCGCAATGGCGCCCCTCAGGGCGCCTGCCGGACGCATCGGCGGACTTTGTCGGGGCTGTCCAGTGTTTCGACGCCGCTTTAGCCTGCGGTACGGCAGACGGTATGGTCCGTCTTTGGGATCTGCGCAGTGGGCAGGTTCATCGTAGCCTGGTGGGCCACACTGGCCCTGTGACTTGCCTACAATTCGACGATGTGCATCTAGTCACTGGAAGTCAAGACCGCAGTATCAGGGTATGTTATTTTGTTTCTGGACTTGGTTGCTTGGGTGCTAATTGCCTTCAGATATGGGATCTCCGAATGGGATCGATCTATGATGCCTACGCCTATGACAAGCCCATTACCAGCATGATGTTCGATACCAAGCGGATTGTTGCGGCTGCAGGAGAGAACGTTGTGAAGGTCTACGACAAAGCCGATGGCCACCACTGGGATTGCGGCGCCGGAGTCGGCGCTGATGAACAGGGCCCATCGCCTGCAACAGTCGAGCGAGTGCGACTGAAGGATGGCTTCCTAGTTGAAGGCCGCAAAGACGGTATCGTTGCGGCGTGGACATGCTGAGATGACTCTACATTTCTATGACATGCAAAACCCTGCCACGCACATGCTAGCATTCGGATGGTTTTGTGTTTTGTGACTGCTTTGAATGCCTCAGCGACTGTATATTATCTTTACGTTTGGCCCAACATAGAAAGGAACCATGGCGTCTTACGGTAGGATCATCCGTTGTAAACTAGTTTCTGACTGATACATGATGCCCTTCTCGTGGCCACTCCACTACCCGGTGCTTAAAATTCCTCTTTGTTCATATTCGAAACACGCTTCCTCAATGCCATATATAAAAATAGCTGAGCAAATAAAGAACGTAGCTTGGGTTTCACGGACACTATGGTTGTGATGAAGCAACAAAGAGAAGAATCACCACCACCATATGGCGTGGGTGGTTTGGTGCTTAGGACCAAGGAACATTGCCACTCTTGCACTGCTACGTCTGCTGTAAGGTTACAAGTCGATCCTCTTTGCAACCGATAAGTACATACTGGAAATAGTATCGAATAGTTTGCTCGTGGTCATGATATTCGTTCTGTATACTCGGTGCACTGTAAAGCGCGGACACCGTGGTAACAACCATTCCCGAACAGGCAATTAAATGTGTACTACCTTCGTATCTGTAATATTAACATCCCTCCTCTATTCCACTTGGTCCAGTTCCCTTCCTCATCGTTGCTCCAACATCTCCTTCGCATCCTTCTTCTATAACGGCACATTTCCAGCCAATTCTGACTTGCGTTACGCGTCTTTTTCATGCGCAAATCATTCCATACCCCACTGAATCATATAGGTGCCGCCAACCCCGCAGCAACAGACGTTTGAACTGTGAAACCGGCGCGTCCTACTGCCTCCGTCGTCTCTGGCCCTTCTTCTCGGATGAGGACAGAACGATCTCCTTGAGGCTGTCAGGACAAGCCTACTAATCGCTTTCTTTGTGTCGCATGGCAACTCAAAATCTACTTCGATTATATTCAACATAGGTTGTCTCCGAACAAAGGACTCTTTTGTCACTTTGTTCTCACCCACCTTCCTCCGAACCATCTCTCGGGCTTCATTAAGTCGCCCTCGCCGCATCTTCTCAAGCCCAACTCGCATCGTTCACCTTGTGCAGACTTATGACTCAAACCTTCCCTCGGCAAAGATTCCTATCTGTGCTTTGAAATTACTTCTTGTCTTTCCCCTTTCCGGTTCTCGTCGAGGCTGCCTGCGCATTCGTCAACATTTCTTCCGAGGTTGCGGAGAGTTGCATTCAACACGGAATCTACGGGGTGAGTAGAGCGACGCTCTCACTTCTTCGGACCTAATCTCCCACACGGGTTCAACCCAAACCCAGTGCACTTCCAGGGAGGAAGCTAATCCTGAATATTAAGAACACAGACATTTCGATACGGTCTTTCGAGATAAATCAAAATGCCTCCCAGACGCGGTACCGTCAGGCAGAACGGGTCAACCCCTCGCGCTGAGGGCGCTCTTTCATACTTTCAACACCAATTGATGTCGGACAGTCGAACACAAGCCTTGCCCAACCTTCCTACTAGACAATCATTTGCATATGGCTCGGCTGAAACGCCGCTCCTTCCTCGGCAGCTGGTCCTCAACCCTCACATGGATTTGGTTGAAATGGCCGGCCAGATCGAGAAGGGTATCGAGGATGCGAAAGACCGGGAGCAAAAGGAAAGTGCGTCGACTGCGGATCGTAGTCGCCGACGAAGATCCTCGTCGGCTAATGTGTCACCAATACGAAGAACACGCCGCGAGCCAACTCCTGACCAAACGCAGCTGCTCGAATCACTCCGCGATGCGACAAGATCCCCCAGTCCTATCAATGGCTACCACCCAAACGATCAATCTACTGCAACTCCTACCCCTCCGATTCCGCATACTATATCGACAACCTCAAGCCCCGCACTGGACCCTGTCCCAGAATCTCGATATCCCCATGTACCTGCTGATAAGCTATACCCGTCGCCTTTGTTGCGCTCGGGAGTTCCAGCGCATGACGAGCCGCCATTGAGCAGCTCGTCTGGACTTGACAATGAGTCCGTGATTTCATACTCGATCGAGCGAGATATTCATGATGACGACTTGCGGCGGACATTGTCCGATGGCAAGAATATAACTGCCCCTCCTCGCCGGGTCTCTGGAATGGCATTCGTCAAAGATGTGTCGACTATTCATGAAGAGGAGGAACCGGACTCAAGACTTTCTCAGTACAAATCATCACCATTAAAATCACCTCCTGTGAAGCCCCTTCACCCGCTGAAATCGGTGGTAGCCCAGAAGGCGCCTTCTCCGGAGAGGTCACCGTCACCGTCAAAGTCGGCTTCACCTCCGAAATCACCATCACTAGATAGATCGTCATCGCCTTGGAGGTCTCTCTCACTTTCAAAGTCACCTTCACCTGAAAAGTCACCTTCGCCTCTTCGACATTCATCTCCTCAGAGAGCACCATCGAAGGCCCCGTCGCTCAAAAGGTCGCCGCTACCCCAGAAGGCACCAACGCCTAAAAAGTCGTCGCTCCCACCAAAGGTACCAACGCCCGCGAAGTCGCCTTCTCTCTCGCCAGTGTTTGAGGAAGGTGCGTTGGAAACTACACCGGAGCCCGAATGGGAACCACAACCAGAGTTCCTTAGAGAGGACTCCCCTGTCACCCAACCGTCAGCCCCTACCAAAAATGACATTCCTCACTTTCACACGGACGGGGCATCTGCTAGGGAGCAGCCAGCGCTCATCCGGCCGTCGCTTTTCAATGAATGGCCTGATATCGGACATTCTACGCGTGAGAAACTATCCGCTGTTGGTCGAATCATTGCGCTGTTGGCACTGGCGATAATGGTCCTGACTAGTTCTAACTACCTGGGCGGAATGATTCCATTCGGTCAACCTCGGTATTATAGACCATTGAACGGAACAGGCCTAGATGCGATCAGCAGTCTCAGCGCACAGATGTCCAAACTAGGTTCACAAGTATCAACTCTATCGAGGGACATCAAAACAGTCAAAGCCGACATTCGAGCACAGCCGACAAAAGGTGTATCCACTGGGACACTTCTTGGCACGTACATTCCGAAAACTAATTTTCTAGCTGTACCACTTGGGATTATAATTGACCCGCACAAAACGAGTCCAACTGTGACGCAGCAGATCGGTTTCAGGAGAAAATTGTCTTACTTCCTGGAAGAAAATTTTCGCCGCCCGCAACCCCCGTTGTCCGTCGCGACAGCGTGGGAAGATATTGGAGACTGCTGGTGCAGCGTCCTGCGCGACGGGATGACACAAGTTGGTGTTCTTCTTGGCTACCGAATCGTCCCTGAAGAAATTGTTGTCGAGCACGTCCCCAAAGCAGCGGCGCTGAACCCTGGACTTGCTCCCCGAGACATGGAGCTCTGGGTCCGATTCCGCCGTGTTAAGAACGACACCTTGGTTTATCCTGAACAGTCGTGGGGTGAATACCTCAAGGCCCAAGCCAAACTGACGCCTCGCCCCAATAATCCTGCCGGGCAGGACGACTTGTTCAATGATGAGCGTTTCGTCTTACATGAGCCCGTAATGCATGCACTCAAGCTGGCCTATCCCGGCGAATCGGAAGAAGCCTACTGGGGCCAGTATGATGAGCGGCTCGGACCAGCTTTCTATCGTGTTGGAAGATGGACTTATGACATCAACTCGGACCAGCATGCGCAACGTTTCATCCTTGATGCTGTGATTGATGACCCAGAGATCCGCGTGGACAAGGTCGTTATACGTGCGAAGAACAATTGGGGGGCCGATAACACATGTATTTATCGGGTGAAGTTGTTCGGCAAGAAGTAGTCCACTATGCTACTTTCTACCTTTTTCTTCTTGTCTCCTTCCCGTTACTGGTACTTCCACCTCTCTTCTTCCTTCTGTGACATTTTAACGTCATATGTCTCCATTCCTGCAGGCGTTCTCTTTCAATATGCATGGACACGACCAATAGACTGAGGCGCATTTGGGACAGAATCAGCTGGGGTCCTGATTTTTGAGTTTATGTTTTCTTTGATAAGGTGCAAATGGCGTCATTCTTCCTTTTCTTTCGAGCTCAGGGTTGGTCGATTCCAAGCGAGCTGTTTGCAGTAGATACCATCCGGCGAAGTCATGCATATCATTTGAACTGATTGTTGTTGTTCTTACATAGCCACTTACCAGTTGATTTTCTTTCAAATCAAGAGACCAGTATGCTAGTATTTTTTCGACTATATGCAAGATAATCTTCCGCTCAAAGTCATTCTCAGTGTCGATCACTTGTCTTGCTAGGTTATTTACCGAAAGTGCAAGCTGTTCCCGACAAACTCCTTACTATCCGAAAGTACAGCGTATCTCAACCAGCAGGACTGGTTTTGAAATGGGTCCTACGTCCCGCTGCAGCCACGCAATATTGTGACTCTAGGACAGTGACAACACGGGACATGAGAGAGTATGTGAGGGTAAGGCTAGTGGAGCTACTGCCTATCGGCTTCCATCTCGATCTCTCGATCCTTCATTTCCGGGGTTTAAGCTATCATCTCTTTTAGATACTACCTAGCTCTCGATCCTCGGGAGTTTTAGTTTGCGTCCTCGTCTCGTCTACATGCCCGCGCCAAGTAACAGACATATTGGGGATCTGCCATGCCTGTGCCTTTTAATTTGCTCTCGACAATCTAGCTCGTCTGGCCGACATGGGCAAGGCTCGGGGGACAGGTCTAGTTGGAGGGGTTGTTGCTGCATCGCGGTACATCCCTTGCTTCTGGCTTCTCAGAGGATCTGGAGGATGAGATGGACGGCCGACCTCGTCGCTGCCTGCCTTGAGCAACGTATCACTTGGGTTATACCTGGCAGTGACTGAGATCTACGCTTTGATATCAAGAAAATAAGGTTAACGAGGTTACACGGCTCGTGTAGGCCGTCCATCTAGTCAGTCCTTCCGAGATCTCTAGAAGGGTCTTATATTCTGGCGGCACCACCACTGTCTGCGATGTCTGGAAATCACCAACATCATTCTCCTCCGACGCAGCATCTACAATCGAGCATGTGCGGCGCTTCCAAAGCATCATCCGGCAGGCACGAACACCGCTTCCGTGAAGCTTGTCCGCCGCCCGACGAGACGTCTGTTCTGCTCCCGAGCGCTCCCACCGCATGCCCCTCCCACGAGCAGGACGGACGGTATGTCCTCCCGACCTTCCTCGGCGAGGTCTTCCAACTGGCGAGAGACTCCATCCCCGTGATCCTTGCCTACGCTCTCCAGAACAGCCTGCAGGCGACCTCGATCCTAATCGTGGGACGCACGTCGCCCGAGGATCTCGCCACGGCGGCTTTCTCGTTCATGTTCGCCGCGGTCACCGGGTGGATGATCGCGCTCGGGGGCACGACGGCGCTGGACACGCTGGCGTCGTCGGCGTTCACCGCGAGCGCGAACAAACACGATCTGGGGGTCCTGTTGCAGCGCGGGTTCCTCGTGCTCGGCCTGTTCTACCTCCCGGTTGCGGGGCTGTGGGCTTGCGCAGAGCCCGTCTTTCTCCTGCTGGGGCAGCAGCCCCAGCTGTCGAGGGATAGTGCCCGGTTCTTGACTTGCTTGATTCCCGGGGGGCTGGGGTATATATACTTTGAGTTGATGAAGAAGTATCTTCAGGCGCAAGGTCGTGTGGAACTCTTGTTGTTACGTACAAAGGAATATGGAGGTTAACCTATTCGAGTAGGCTTGATGCGTCCGGGAACCTATGTCTTGTTGATCACGGTGCCGTGCAATCTCTGCCTCAACCTTTTCTGCTCTTCCACGCTTCGTCTGGGGCTGCTGGGCGCCCCGATCGCCACGGGCGTCTCGTACTGGGTGTCTTTCGGGCTGCTGGCCCTGTATACCCGCTACGTTGCGGGGGCCGAATGCTGGGGCGGCTTGTCGCGCGAAGCCCTCCGCAACCTGGGGACGTTTGCGCGCTTGGCCCTCCTGGGAGTCGTGCAGGTGGGCACGGAGTGGTGGGCTTTCGAGATTGTGGCCCTGGCCGCTGGTCGACTCGGGACTATTCCCCTGGCCGCGCAAAGTGTCATCATGACCGCGGACCAGATCCTCAACACCATCCCCTTCGGGGTCGGTGTCGCCGCCTCTGCGCGGATCGGGAATCGGTTGGGCTCGCGAGATGCCGCGGGAGCGTCCCGGGCAGCCAACGCAGCCGCTTGTCTGAGCATGGTGCTGGGAGGGATGGTGCTGGTGATGCTGATGGGCACTCGTCACGACTTCGCCAAGATTGCCAACTCCGATGCACGGGTGGTGGCGCTTACGGCCGACGTCCTGCCGTGGGTGGCGCTGTTTCAGATCGCAGATGGTCTGAATGGGAGCTGTGGGGGCAGTCTTCGGGGCATGGGGCGACAGCATGTGGGCGCGTTGGTCAATCTGGTCAGCTATTATGGTGGTGCGCTACCATTGGGGATCTGGTTGGCCTTCCATGGCTGGGGGATTCAGGGTCTCTGGGTTGGGCAGTGCGTTGCTCTGTATCTGGTTGGCGCGCTGGAGTGGACGATTGTGGCTCTGAGTGACTGGGACAGGGAGGTCGATAAGGCATTCCTGCGGGTTGATGCTGATAAACAGGGAGACTGTCAGGGAGTTGCTGAGGGTATTGCTGTGGGTGTGTGATCTGACTGGAGATGCATTTCGATGAGGTATGAGGTTGGGCTCCTATCCTGCTATTTTTGAGGAGAAGTTCAAGATCAGCTTGCCTAAATTTCTAATTCGAGGTTTGAGTACTTGAGAACCATCAAATCCTTCCATAGAAAGCATCATCGAGGTTGCCAACAAACCAGAAGGGCCCGATGTCGAGGAGGATTGTAGAGGCAGAGCCAAGTTCGAACAATTACTCGTGCATGAGACGAATGCAGGACGGATCTGGACTGGAGGCAAACTTTGTTCTCATTTCAGATGCGGTATGATCTCTTTAGTCTTGAGCTTGGGTGTAGGCAAATCAACATTTAGGTACTCAGACTATGAGAAGAAGTGTATGTTTGGGTCGGGTCGACGAGGATGTAGGCCCGGGCCCATATGACGAGCTTCCTCTTCCGGCCGCCTTCCACACTCTCCAAGTTTACTTACTATATCATTCCGTCCCAGGCTCCAGTAATCCCACCACTACAGACTGCAGTCTCTTTCCAGTAGATAATCTACATTCGCGAAAGGATGTACACCTCCACTTCGACATGTCGTTTCTACGGTACATAGAACGAACAAGCGGGTGACCCACCCCATAATGCGGATAGCAATGTATCACATCGCCCCCTTGCATACAAGGGCAAAACGCCACATATGACGACAATAGATAAGATGGGAGATCATCCACTGCTGGATCGGAAGAGGTCAGGTCAGGTCCAGGTCCAGGCTCAGCGAACGCCCCGACGACGATCGCAGGAGTATTTTCTTTTTGTCATGAATGACAGGCAGATCCGATCTGACGATGTGGCTGCATACTTCACTTCCTAGACTTTTTGCGCGATCAGTCCAACGGTCAATAGTCGCAAGGTGCAGGATTGGGCGAGAGGGTGTTGTATCTTTGCCTCTGGCTGCTCCCCGCAAGGTTCTCACTCGTAGGCTCTGAGGTTCACATGTTATGCATCCTTGCATGGAGTTTATCTTTAGAGACCTGGGTGAAAGGGAGATTGGGCCCGCCCTTGCTGCCGGTCGTCCCGTCCGCGGTGGATGGTTGACGTGCGCAGGGAGGCTGCGGATTCGCGGGAAGGGAGTATAATACTTTTTTGGGGGTGGATGGGATCTATAGGTCGAGATGTATCCTTGCAGGTTGGATCGGTCGGGAGGAGGCTAAGTTCGATATGTGTAGTTGAACTGTTTGAGAGGTGAGGGTCTAGATCTCGGATGATGGGGATATTTGGGTTTGTATGGAGTGCTGTAACCGGTCGGCCTGTGCGACAGGCGTATAGGCCGGTTGCCAGCCTGTGACTTTGTTGTAGTTCATGTTGGTGGTATGTGAGCGTTCGTCGGCGTTGTCAATGGATCGGCTACTAGATAGAGGTGGAGTTGGCACTGTTGCTGAAACGCAAGCGCCACCCCGGTCTGGAGCCCAGGCTGGCAGGAACCCATGGAACATACCCATCTCACTGACACGTGTGGATATGCTCCCTCCCTCTCCAGATCCGGAGACAATCTTTTCCCGTAGTGATTTTCTGGGCCATTGCCGGACTGGTCGAAGATCGGCCGGCTGGGCAGATAAAGAGGAGGGTCGCGGAGAAGGTTCAGGGGGGGCAAGTCAAACTCAAGCGAGATTTGGACAGCACTAAGGTAGATAGCCGGGGGCTGTCACTAATTGCTGCGAATGGAAATGTGCCAAAGAACATGCATTTGTCGGTGATTCTCTATCAAAAATAAGCAATTTCGAGATATGTCTGGGCCACGGCTATGGGAGGAGAAATGCAAAGCGGATCTTGCGAAGGCTTGGTTCGCCTTGGTTGGGCTGAGGCTGGGGTCACTCATCAGTATTTGCCCCCCCCCACCCCCCTTCAAGCTCGCAATATCTGAAAAGGTGCCCGTGCTGATAACCTGGCAGGGCTTGAGGGGCTTAACGGTCAACGGTTGGATCGAAGTGGTCCTAATTTTGGATCAAGGGTCGCCTTTTCGTCTTCTCGGTTCCTTGGTTCCTTGATTCTATCTCGACTCGTACGAGTAATTTGTTCTTGTTGTTGGGAATTGTGCATTTGAACAGGAGTCTCTTCCCGTCCAGCTATCCAGCTATCATACGCGTGACATTTCCACAGATTAATTACCTCCTTTCTCTGCCAAAGTGACTTATCTAATTAATTTAATCCTGCTTATGAATCCCTAACAGTCCCCTAATAATTGTTTCAATATTGCGACTGAGTTGGGTTTCTAAGAGCAGAGGATATTTGGTCATGCAACCAGGGGTTATCTAGCCAGTCATCGATCGCAGAGAGAACAGAATAGATTACTACTTGGTCGATACATAAGTGGGGGAGGAACTAATGCAACCCCCATGATCCATGCTCCAGTTCGCCTTTCCACGTTCGACTGTTTCTCGAATTGAGTCGGGGTTTCGACTCGGTGGGCCATACCCTGGTCAATCAATGTGGATTGCTATCATTGAGCCGTCGCAATCAATTCTCACCTAATAGGCGACTGGCATCCCGCGCGGCTGCAGCCAAGTTTGACCACTATGTCCCATCTAGGACGAAGGACTCAAAAGGTAATTAAGAGAGACTTTCAAGGCTTGTAAGTTCATTTTGCTAAGATGACGCCGACGATGCCGCAATCCACTGGGCCTGTTCATGGACTTCATTGACTGCCTAGCCTCATAGCCGCGGCTAACCTACTGTCCCACTTGCCGGTTGACAGCTTTGCTCCAATCAGGCATGGATGGTCCCTCGTTGTGCTTCATCATGGCACCATATGTAATGGAGAGACTGACCCGCAGCCGTAGAGCAGCGGCCTTCAGATGCGCCAGTCGACGTCAAGCGTCTTCCTTTACATGACTAGAGTGTATGTGCGTGCTGGGCGGCCATGCCCGTGCAATTTTAATTCGGCCTAGATAGGCACAGGAGCCTCTAGTCGGCCGTCGCTCTTCATTTCTGCTTGATTAGTGGCTGGCCGTGGGTTGCGCGTAAGAAACAAAACAAATCTGCTGTCAGTACCCGGTTGCCGTGTGGTTCCTGAGTTCGCAGGGCCAGCGTGTTTCAGCATCCAGTGGACTCCAGTAGTTTATTCTTAGAGTCGAAGTTTGACACTGGACTGACATGGTGTGACAGGAGCATGCAGGTTGTCGATAGCGAGATTGGATAAGGTTGTTTACACTGGCAGCTGAACTGGCTTCTAAGGTGTCTTCCCGTCCATGCTTTTCCTTGCGTCGAGCAATCATGGTTCTGCTTGAGCGCAGAAAGAGAAAGTCAGTGATCTGTGTCGGTCTGTCTCCGTGTGCGTCGAAAATTGGGGGGTGTACGTGGAAGGCAGCGATGGTCGTCGTACTTTCATCGCATTCTAAAACCTGAAACATCAAGCAAGACCGGAACAAGAACGATTGGGTCGGACACATTCAAAGGCTCCATCGCAACTCACAGTTATCCATCTGTTAAGACCGGGCTGTCGGGTGCCTGGATGGATTTCCATCCGCCGCGAACCGTGGAACTGCGGTTGCCGGCAATCCGGCACATGTAAAAGTATTGATTGTAATGGATGGATTGGGAAGAGTCTCTGGACTGGTCTGAACTATCCCGGGAAAAAAAAGAGTATGTGAGATGTGCTTTGTACTGTACTTGCACTGTCGACATCATCAACGTTGGCATGATAGATTGATAAACCGAAGCGATAGACCGATAGACACCTGCAAAAATGAAGATAGTCCCGAGTTTCCCAATGTTCTGGACCTCGATTGGTGTGGGTTTGTCTCCCCCTGGCCTCGTAACTTTAGAGCTAGTACCCATGGAGTGTTGAGCGACCGTACCTGACGAAAAAAAAAAGGTCCGAGTGCATTAATGCCATCACCATCATTAACTTATCATCATCATCGTTCATTCAGCAGGTTACAACAGCAACAACAGCAACAACAACAATAACAACTTGACGGGTATCCAACATTCCAAAGGGGGGAAGAGGTCAGAATTTCATCAGTCATCGAGTTTTCGATCTGTTTTCTCATTCTTCTCCGGCTTCCTCTTCTCTCTTCTCTCTATTTTTACCTTTGTCTCTTTTCTAGACTGTTTCAACATCAATCATGGTTCACGGTTCATGAAAATGAACCCTCTGAGTTAGTATACCCAGTAGTGTACTACTAACCTCCTTTTTGAATTTAGTGACGATTCCTGACTCTTTACCCTTCGCGCACTCCACTTTCTTACTCGGTCCAACCCCCCTCCTCCCCTCCCTCACACTCCCAGTCTCCAGTCTCTAGGCTCCGTCCTCCCCAGCCCCAATTCGCTTCAACCTTGATGCCACCAATTAACTTTACCGGTCATTCAGGAGTGTTTCCGCTCCGAGTGTTGCTACATCTTTTCCTTCCTGGGTGTCCTTTGGCACCCTAGGAGTTTGCCTTCTTCTTCTTCTTCTTCCTCTTCTTCTTCACTGCAGCTTCAAACCTGTCACTCCTTGTCTCCCCTCCTTCTTCTTCTTCTTCTCCTCCTCCCTCCTACTCTTCCACCCCCCCTCCCTCCACCCTCCCGCAAAAGCAGTCTGCTTCTTTCGGAACAGCCACACTATATGCGCTCGGGCTGGAAATAGTGACCGCAATCATTCCTTTGCATTTGTTTGTTCCCTCACTTCCTTTATTCCTACTGCAGCCCACCCCCAGTTGGAATTGGCTGTCTCATTTTTCCCTCCTACCGCCAATTGAGATTTTCTGACTGTGTATATCCCGTGAAAAAGGTATTTGTTGTTGCAGCAGTCTTGCAAAGAGAGGACTTGTTAATGTCGCAGATTGTCGCCGGCCGCCAACTCACGCGATTCCTCTCCGAAGTAATAATTAATTACCCCCCCCAGACCTCAACAACCAGCGAATCACCGCCGATGACGCTTCTGTCCGTTCCATGACCGACCAGTAACACTTTCTCACACACCCTCGATTTGTCTGCCCGACCGACCACATTAACGTCCTCTTACAAAGGCCATGACGGGCACGCCGCCAGGTTCGCCGTCAAGTGCGCCCCAACGAGCATTTGGCACCATCATGCGTACTCAAAGAAGCAACAGTCGCCTCAGTACTAGCAGTAAACATGGTGGAGGAAGTCGAGCTTCGGATGAAGATGGAAAAACGGCCGTCAAAGTTGGTGCGTTCATCTGCCCTCCCTTATGCAGCTTATGGGTCTGTTGGCCGAGCTGTGATCGCTGTGGCATATCGCAATGATCGCATCCAAGCAGCGAACTCCAGGATGCGTTTCCGCCCTTGTGTTCTGCATGCTGACGCGAATATAGCCGTCCGTGTTCGACCTGCTTTAAAACCAGACGACCCCAACTATGAACTGGTTCCACAACGCTTCCAGCGGCCCATGGTTCATGTCATCAACCCGACTAGTCTTGCAGTAGATGTTCCTCAGGGCCGCAAGCTCTTCGTTTTCGATCGCGTGTTCTCCGAGGCGGTTGATCAGGACGGGATCTGGGAATATCTAAGCGACAGTGTGACTTCTTTCTTGCAGGGTTACAATGTCTCCATCCTGGCATACGGACAGTCGGGCGCGGGAAAGTCTTACACCATGGGAACCTCGGGACCTACTGAACAACACGACCCGAAATCCATGGGTGAGTATCACATGCTTTGGCAATGTACGGTGCGGTGAATACTGACATGTTCAGGAATCATTCCTCGTGCCGCGCAACTTCTTTTCGAGAAACTAGACGGCCCGCCCAAGCATAATCGTCACAGTTCATCCGGTCTTCGCACTCCAGCTCGTTACTCGGTCGGATCCACTTCTAGTTTTGGGAAAGCGAGCGTCGAGAAGAATTGGCAGCTTAAGGCCTCTTATGTTGAGGTAAGAGCCTCAGTCATCCTACCAGTAGTTGAGCCGCCCCCCACTGACTTGCTCAGATCTATAATGAACAATTGAGAGATTTGCTCCTTCCTGACAATACGCCCTTCAGTGATCGCAGCGCGGTCACTATCCGTGAGGATACCAAAGGCCGGATTATCCTCACTGGTTTACACCAGGTGAATATCAATTCGGTGGAAGATTTGATGGGCGCCTTGAGCTTCGGATCCTCGATTCGACAGACTGACTCGACTGCCATCAATGCAAAATCCTCGCGTTCGCACGCCGTATTCAGCTTGAATCTGGTCCAGCGGAAATCTTCGAACGGAATCGTGTCACCTAAAGACAAACGAATGTCCATGCCGGTAGATATGACACCTGGATCGGATCACACCATCACAGTTGATAGCAAGCTTCACTTTGTTGATCTGGCAGGAAGTGAGAGGTTGAAGAACACCGGAGCATCGGGTGAACGGGCTAGGGAAGGTATCTCGATCAATGCCGGGCTTGCTGCACTCGGCAAAGTTATCTCTCAGCTTTCGTCTCGCCAAGCGGGCTCACACGTTTCTTACCGCGATTCAAAACTTACCCGGCTGCTCCAGGACTCGCTCGGTGGAAATGCTTATACATACATGATTGCCTGCGTGACTCCCCCAGAATTCCACCTGAGTGAAACGCTCAACACCGTTCAGTACGCGCAGCGAGCTAGAGCAATTCAGAGCAAACCGCGCATCCAACAGGTCAACGATGATTCTGACAAGCATGCGGTTATTGAGCGACTGAAGGCGGAGGTGGCATTTTTGCGTCAACAGTTACGTAATGCAGAAGAGGCGGACCGGCGAAGCGTCGCCCCAGCTGAACGAACGGAGCGCCAGAATGAGAGGGAAATTGAACTTCAAAATCATCTGCTGGATGTTCAAGAGAGCTACAATGCGCTCAGCCAACGTCATGCCAAGCTTATCTCAGAGCTGGCCCGGGATTCTGAAAGGGGCGCTGAAACAGATCCAAACGACATTGCTGGTGTTGTCGGCAAAAGCTCAGTGGAGAGACTCAAGAGATCTCAATCATTTGCAGAGTCTATTGAGCAGGTTGTTCTCGAATACGAGAAAACTATACAAAGCCTTGAAACCTCTTTGTCGAACACCCGGTCTTCTCTCTCCACGACGGAAAGCACTCTCCTTGAACGCGAGACTAAATGTGCATATGTCGAGACTGTTAACTCACAGTTACAGTCCCGCATTCAGAAACTTTTAGATCGTGAGGGTAGCACGGAAGCGTATCTGCACGAACTGGAATCAAAGCTCGATGGACAATCGTCTGGCGAAGAGAAGCAGGAGGCCATGGTGTCAGAGTTGCGCAAAGAACTCAGCCGTGCTCGTGAAAGTGAAGCCAACTGTGAGGAATACATTTCCACTCTGGAAGAGCGCTTGGCTGAGGCGGATCAAGACATGGAGCTGATGCAGAGAGAGCTGGAGCGACTCGAGCACGTCGTCGAGCGCCAGAGAAGCTTAGGGAAGCTAGATAACCTTCTTTATGAGCTCGATCATGTTCAACAAAACGGCACTCAGAAGGAGGACGAGCTCAGTGACGAGTTTGAGCACGTTTCCAGTGTTCCTACCAAGGGCGCCTACAACCCTCGCTTGCGCGCAACTTCGCTTGATGTATTGACTGAAGCTGCCGAGACCGCTATTCCGGAATCCGATGAAGGACTGAGCGAATCAGTGCCTACACTTGCGGACGAGACTCAAGTCGATGCGCAGTCGGTCGCTGAAGAAGACGAGCGCGACTTGAAGACCTTAGAAAATGCAACAAACCACCTTCAACCTGAAGCTGCGGATACGCAAAGCCGGTCTCCCAGCCCTACTCAGTCGAAGGTTGTTGCCGACAAACTTGAAACGGTAACACAAGAGCTTTTCGACTTGCGCTTGCAGCACGAGACCACTCTTAATGACTATGAATTACTCGAGTCTAAGTACGAGGCTGCCATGAAGGCCCTTGCTGAGCTTCAACAGGATGCTGCAGATGAAGCACGCCATCCCGGATCGGACCTACGGAACCTTCTATCACCCACTGCGTCTTCACGTCCGGTATCTTTTTTAGACGATGCGAAGATCCCCGAGTCGAAAGTTGGAACACAACGTTCCTTCTCGCAATCACTCTCATCGGAGTTATCCTTGGCCGGGGAGCCTGCTGCTTCGCACGAACCATCTAATACAAACGAGCAATTGACTGAGCAGGAGGTCCCAAACAGCGCTCGTATCTCTGAGGTCGATGAAGCCAGAGCTCAGGAGGTTGAGCAGATGCGTCGTCTGCTCTCTGAGCACCAAGAAGGTGTTAGCATCATGACGCAGAAGTATGCACAGCTGCAGGCTGAACATGAACAAACACTCAGCCTCATTGACACTCTCAAGGCCGAACTGCAGAAACCCAAGTCGTCATCGCCGCCAACAACACCGGGCTTCAAGTCCCCTGTGATCCGACGTAAGACAAGCCAGAGCCTGATTGGCAGTGTTGATCGTGCACAGAGATCTCTGGCCGCGCTACGTAACATTGCCTCTGAGGAATTCGAGTCTCGTCCTGATACCATGCAAAACTTTGAGGTCCACCTCGATTCTGCTATGCACGAACTGTATAATCGCATGGAGCGTATCCAGGCGCTCGAAGCTGAAAATCAGAGTGTCAAGAAGGAGATGGAAATGAAGTCCACGATCATCAGCGGACTCACTCGAGAGAGATCTAGCTTACAGGGCGGTGCATCTCAGGTGGACATGGGTCTCGTGTCTCAGCTGCGTGATCAGGTTGTTCAACAAGAGAATATTATCACTGAAATGAGAGAAGCGCACGAGGCTAGGGAGAAGTTGCTGCTGTCTGAAATTGAAGAGCTCAAGGGTCTCCTCAAAACTCAAGAAGAAGCCGCTAAGGCTTACGATGCCGGTGCCGAGGAACAAGATCGGAAGATCAATTCCTTGAACGGCGAACTCTTCGAGTGGAAGAACAAACATCAAAATGCTGTTCAATCTCTGCAGTCATCGGAAGAGCAGCTTAGTGCAACTTTAGCAGAGCTTGATACTGCTCTGGCTTCTTTGGACGCAATGCGTACCGAACAAGCTGCTGCAGGTGAAGCATCCGCTTCCAAAGAGGCTGCTGCAAGAGAGCTGGAAAGCGAAAGAGCGCAACAAGAAGAAACTGTCAGTAAGCTAAAACGCGTTATCGAGGAACACCAATCTACAGCTACCATCAACCTTGAGAAGATCGCGTCGCTAGAGAAATCATATGGTGAAGCCCAGCAGCAGTTGACAGACCTCCAGACCGCTAAAGATAACGATGGCAATGAGGCAGAGATGCATCAGTCCCGCATGGCTGAATTGGAGAAAGAAATTGAGACCCACAGATCACTCTCTGAGACTTACAAGAAGGATCTTGAGTCTCTGCACGAGACTCACAGACGAGAGAAAGAGGAGTTGGAGTCTCGCGCAAGAGCCGCCATGCAGGCTGAGTATGAGACACGTTTCACGGATATGAACGCCGACCATGAGCAAGCCATGGAAAAACTGAGATCTGAGATCATGGCATCACGCGACGAATTGACGACCTTGATGCAATCGGTTTCGCGATTGTTGAACTCCGATGTTACGGCTGACAACCTCGCGGACCAGATTCAGGATGTTTTGATGCAAAAGCAGCACTTCTCTGACAAATACGCGGAGCTTATGGATTCGAATAATGATTTGCGCAAGCAATTAGACGACAAGAGCAGCGAAGCTGGCCGTCTCGACGAGCTTACTCGAACTAACGCGGCTAAAGACGCCAAGGTAAATGAGCTTGCTCTGCTGGTGGCCACTTTGGAGGATACTCTTCTGCAGAAGGAAGAACAGGTGAAGAAAAAGGAGGCGCTTCTTGCAGAAGTTCAAGAAGAAAAGGAGCGGAGTGTCCGTCTTGTTGAGGAGCTCGAGGAGCAGATCACAAACAGCTTCGATCAACACAACAACCGCCTTTCCGTGATCCAACAAGAGCGCGACCAAGCTCTGGAGGATGCCAAGGTCAAGATTGCTACTTACGAGACGGAGATTGAAACTTACCGTTTGCGGATTGAGCAACTTGAGCTGCAACTCAAGAATCACGATAGCTCTCACGATCGCAGCAGCTCGATCACATCTAACCTTCGCAAGAGCTCCTCGGCAGCCTCCCTTCCTTCTCCACCTCCAGCAATTCCTCTGCCACCACTTCCCAACATCGCAGCCGCAACCAACGGAACTGGCAGTATCTCTCCGCCAAGCTCGCGGCATACCAGCAAAGAGTTGGTCAGCACGCAAATTGTTGAAGACCAAGAGGCGCGCATTCGTACCATTGAGAAACACTTGAACGCCGAAAAACAACTTACGGCCACGTTGGAAGAAGCTCTTGGCGATCTAGAAGCCCAGAGTAACAAGGTCAAGACCGATTGCGACAATTGGAAGAAGAAGGCCTGGCAACTGGAGGAGGAGCTCACGACTTTGCGTAAGGAGCGCACCTCACAGCGTCTTTCTCTTCAAGCTGTTGAGGAGGAGAGAAACGCTCGGCGGGAGGCGGAAGCCGCCAGAGCGCAGCTTGAAGAGCGCATGAATGCGCTCAACAAGAAGAAAAAGAAGAGCACGCTCAATTGCTTCTGAATAAAGTACTCATTTTTGTGGGAGGTTCTCTGTTTGCTTGCTTATCCTTATCCCTGCACCCCTGCCAGATACGAATTTAGCCTTCTACTGTACCATGATGAATTCCACGTCGACTCCCTCTGATTTTGGACATGGTCGATACTCTTTTCGCTTCCTCTCTGTGTATTCCACACCTCACTACTTTTGTGTTGTTCTTGCGCGGTATTCTTCTCTTTCATTCACCTTGTGTTTTATGAATTTCACCTTATGACCTTGACCTGTATGGCCTGTTATTGTACATTTCTCGACTACCCTGTCATTACACCTTACACATGCATCGAGTGAGCATGTTGGTTTAGTTGTCTAGCATAGCTGTTCATAGCGAAATGAGCTAGAAATTATAGATCTTGCGGTTCTGACTTCACCTTCTCGATCCACGTTAGCCTGCAAGGTGTACGTAAGTGCATGCATGGTTGAAATGGCCATGCAGCGAAATACACACTATTTCATCTGTGATATCACCGGCAACCGTTATCATCACATGACACAAGCTAATCAGCTTATCAACTGGCCCGATAGTGGCCGCGTGTACTCTTCTTCCCCTAACACCAAAGCTATACAAAGATTCTCCCTTCCCATTGCGCATGAAATGGCCCTTCTCTTCTCCGTTCCTTCTTAGCCAGCCAAAACTCTCCCTACTGGTAATTGCCCTTCCTGTAGGGCTCACCACGATTCCACAATGTCTTCCCCAAGCCCCCGCCTCCCTAAAATCACCATCATCCACCCGGACCTCGGCATAGGCGGCGCCGAACGTCTGATCCTCGACGTGGCCCTGGCCCTCCAGAACCGCGGCCACCGCGTCACGGTCTACACCTCCCACCGCGACAAGTCGCACTGCTTCGAGGAGGCCCGCGACGGGACCCTCGACGTGCGCGTCCGCGGCAACACGATCTTCCCCGCGCACCTCGGCGGCCGGTTCCACGTCCTCATGGCCATTGCGCGCCAGGTGCACTTGACTCTGTCGCTACTGGGGGAGGCTCTAGACGACGACCCCGACACGCAGGAAGTCGAGGAGGAGGAGATCTTCATCGTAGATCAAGTCCCCGCCTGCGTTCCGATCCTGAAGACTTGGGGTGCGACGAGGAGCAGGAGGAGGAGGGGGAGCGGAAGCAGCAGCAGCAGCAGCAGCAGCAAGCAACGCATTCTCTTCTACTGCCATTTTCCGGATCAGTTGCTCGCCTGGAGGGATGAGAGTGGCGGATTGTTGCGGGCGGTGAAGACGCTGTACCGGGCGCCGTTCGATTGGTTCGAGGGGTGGGCGATGAGTGCGGCGGATAAAGTCGTGGCCAATTCGCGGTTCACGAGGGGGGTGATTACGGGGGTCTTTGGGGCGGAGACGCTCGGGGAGTTGAGTGTTGTTTATCCTTGTGTGGACACCGCGGACAAGGGGGAGAAGGTTGGGGACAAGATGCAGGGAGAAGAAAGGTTGTGGGGTGGGAAGAAGATCTTGCTGAGTGTTAATCGGTTCGAGAGGAAGAAGGATATGGCGCTCGCGATCCGGGCGTATCATGGGCTGGGCGCGGAGAAGAGGCTGGAGACCAGGTTGGTTATTGCTGGTGAGTTCTGGGTTTCCTTTTTTTTTTTTGACTCTTACTGTTACTCGGCGAGGGGCGGTGGGCTAATGTGGAATGGGATTTGATGTAGGTGGTTACGATAACCGCGTTCAGGAGAATGTGCAGTACCATAAGGAGTTGGATCAGCTGGCGACGAGTCTGGGATTGCAGACTGCCACGGCGAGGACGGTCGTCTCGGCGCTCTCCGTCCCGGACTCGATCGACGTGCTCTTCTTGCTCTCAGTGCCCACGGCCTTCCGCGATACCCTCCTGCTGCAGTCCAAGCTGCTCCTCTACACGCCCGTCAACGAGCATTTCGGCATCGTGCCGGTCGAGGCCATGCGCGCGGGGGTCCCCGTCCTCGCGTCAAATACTGGTGGCCCCCGCGAGACGATTGTCGAGGGCGAGACCGGCTGGCTTCGCGATGCAAAGAACGACGCCGAGTGGACGGCGGTCATGGATAAGGTGCTCTACGAGATGGACCCAGCGGAGTTGGATCGCATGTCGGTTGTGGCTAAGAAACGGGTCGAGAGCGAGTTCTCGCTCACTGCGATGGGCGAGAAATTGGAGCAAGAGATCAACGACATGCTCCGCAAGGAAAGGCCGCCATTCAGTGGGTTCCAGCAGATCCTGGTGTTTCTGGCTATCCTGGGCGTTGTCTTTGCCGTCTTGGTTACCGTGCTTCTCAGGTTGCTTTGACTTTGACTTTGCTTTGCTAATCTAATACCCTTTTTGCAATGTACAGTATATTAGAATTTGTTTGCGCATTGGTCACATGGCCGATGCTTTTTCCCATATACTCCGTACTGGTAATGAATATAGATTCACGTGACTGCGCGCAGCGGACGTGACGTCGCGACACGTGCCGCCGGCCTTGGATCTCTTATCCTCCGCAATCGTCGTTGGCTGTTTCTCGCCCACTCTATCTCAGAACGCGACACAATGCCAGAGGTCATCAGTCTTCTCTCCTCGACGCCTCCTCCCCCTCTTCCTCCAGTAGACCGACACGAACTTTCCTCTGCAAGACGCGCCCACTCCACTCCGCCCGGCGCCGCATCCTTCGCCGACGACGTCGACCTCTCCGCTTTCACATGGGAGGACGATCTCGACCTTGACAACCCAGCCAAGCGTCGACGTCTGAGCCATGAAGCACTTCCTCCTCCTCCGCCTCCGCGATTCCGGCAGCCATCCCTCCCCAAGCCCAGGAACAATCTGTTCCTATTCTCCGACGAAGATGTGATCTTATCATCCGAAGGCCCGGGTCCAGGTCCAGGTCCATGTCCCGGTCCCGGCCCCGTCCCCAGCCCCACCCTTCCGAAACTCCCAGTCTGGAATGGAGAATCAGATCCGATTATCTTCACGTCATCTGCCCCAGAACCCAAGGACACTACTCTCGCTGCACAGAGACCTTCTCCCCGTACCACAGATGCTATCGCGATCGACGTCGATGATCACAATGATCACGAGCGATTGCCCACGGCTGGGTCACATAACCACCGAGAGAACATCGAGAACTTCAGCGACCAGATCCAATTCCCCGACATCAACGAGCTTCTCGAACGTCCGAGACCTCCACCGACGACTGGCGCATTCTCTAGTCGTACGGCGGCTCTACTCGCCAACCTCGAGCGACCACAAGGCGGCGATGCCACGGGAAGTACGTCCACCACAACGACAGCAAGCCGACGACGCAAGAAAGATCGAGCCGCGGAGGATATCATTGAAGACGACGACGAGATGGATGAGCCAGCCGCTACCGCCCGGGGCAAATCCCAGCGCAAAACCACCACCGCCACACGCACCAGCGCAGAGAAGGACGCCAAAGCCCGGGAACGGGAGGCGGCCAAGGCGCAACGCGAACAGGAGCGGCAGCGGGAGAAAGAGCGCAAGCAGAAACTCAAGGACGAGAAAGCCCGGGAGAAACAGCTTGCCGCCGACATCGCGGAGGTCAACAAGCTGAAAGTAACGAAGAAGGAGTCGACGCCGGAGATGCTGATCGACCTCGCCTCGACGTTCGAAGGGACAAGCGTCGGTAACCAGACGACGGAAGTCATGAAGCATCTCGGTGTGGAGCTATCATTCTTCGCCAGTGCGATCCCCAACGTCGCGAGATGGCGCCGCAAGGTCAAAGCGACCTACAACGAAGCCCTCGGGTACTGGGAACCCTGTGCGCCGCACGTCCGCGACGAGGACGAGCATGTGCTCTGTCTCGTGCCGGCGCAGGAGTTCGTCGACATGGTCTTGTCGTCGTCGTCGTCGTCGTCTGCCTCGCCAGAAACCGATACAACAACCCTAGAGCAACACATCCATACGCTGAAATCCGCCTACCCCAACCGCACCCCGATCTACCTGATTGAAGGCCTGACCATCTGGCTGCGCAAGAATAAAAACTCCCGCAACAAAGCCTACGTAGCCGCAGTCCGTCGCCAGTACGACGAGGCTGCAGCAGCAACAGCAGCAGCATCATCCACCGACCCGACCAACACAGCAACCACCCGCCGCACCCGCAAGAAATCCCAACAACCCACCAACAAACCCGAAACCACCCCGCCCATCGACGACGACACGATCGAAGACGCCCTCCTCGACCTCCAAGTCACCCACGCCTGCCTGATCCATCACACAGCCGCGCCCGCCGACTCGGCCGAGTGGATCAAGAACTTCACCGAGCACATCTCGACAGTCCCCTACCGGCGCGAGCGTATGGCCGTCAACGACTCGGCCTTCTGCATGGACGTCGGGCAGGTCAAACCCGGCGAGAACCGCTCCGACACCTTCGTCAAGATGCTGCAGGAGGTCAACCGCATCACCGCCAGTATGGCCTACGGCATCGCCGAGCGGTACCCGAGCGTGCTGGATCTGGTGCGCGGGATGCGTCGCGAGGGGCCCGGGCTGTTGGAGGATGTCAAGGTATGTTTTTTTCAGCCCTCTGTTTCCATGGTGTGGTGGATGGGGCTGTCTGTGGGAGTGTTGAGTCGGAGACCGAGGTTGAGGCTAATGTTCCCGGATGGTTTGCAGAAATCCGCGAATAAGAACGGCGCCCTTACGGATTCGCGCATTGGGCCCGCGGCGAGTCGGCGGTTGTATAAGGTGTTTATGGGGATGGAGCCTTCGTCTACGGATGTTTGAGACGGTGTCCAACTAGCCAGGTAGGGCTCGGTAGGGCTCGGTCGAGGGGGTGCCTTAGTAGTTGGGTGGTTTCCCTTTGTGGTGTACTGTACCCTCTAGACCAGGGTATTCTTAGTATTATTGTCAGATCTCCCTGTCTAGTTGGCGTGGCGTTTGCATGGACAATGAATGGTTCTTCCAATGATTTGTTACAAAACCAAAAGCGAATAGATGCCATAAGTCATGAGCTAGAGTGACAAATTAATTCAGATCCTTGGGCAAGAAATCAACAACCCCAGAATTGACACAAGGCTATGTATGCTCAGTATGCATGTGGCCCGGCTGGACACAAGAGTTCCAAAAATGACAACACCAAAGTCAAACAAAGAGAAAACCCCGGTCTATATACCAAATATACCAAAGAGGTCAATATACCCCAAAGATCAGCGCTTTCCAGAACCAAACAAACCGAAAGCCAGATGGTAAGGTAGACGGCAATAGTCCGTCCCTCAAAATCAAACTACAACCCCCCGTCTCCGCCAATGGCGCCAGGCCACCAACCAGGCTCCGATGGCCACCCAGACGCTCACGGTGCATCCCACCGCCCAGAGCCCGTAGCACGACCAGCCGTGACACTGGCCGTCGGCCGTGCCGCTCCCGCCGTCCGTGGCGTCCTGATAGCTGCGCGAGTAGATCAGGCCCCAGGCCGCGGCGCCGGCGGCGGGGACCATCGCGACGATGCCCCAGTTCGTGCCGAAGTTCTCCACGCCCCAGACCACGGAGATGATGATGGGCACGAGGGAGAAGGCGCTGCCGTAGCCGAGGCCGACCAGGGCGGTCGTGATGTGGGTGAGGGCCGGATAGTCGAGGGGCAGCGGGGAGGCGAGGAGGAGGTAGCCCAGGGAGAGGAGGAACGCGGAGGGGAGAAGGAACGCAAGGCGGGTGAAGGTGACTCGGTTGCGGGGGTCCGTTGGGGACGCCGGCCGATTGATGTCCGGGTTGCCTCCGGGCAACAGGTGACGGGCGTGCGGGGCGAAGAAGTCGGAGAGTGAGCCGGTGAGCAGTCGGGCGATCGTCGAGGTCAAGGCGACGGTGGTGACGTGCGTGGAGGGGAGGCCCGCGGGGGACGGGGCATTGGGGAGGGTGGAGATGGGGGTTAGGGTTTGTACAATTGTGCCCAGCTGGAGAGACGTGAGTATGTATTGCATGCCAGATTAGGTTTGTTTCGTGCGGCAAGGAAAGTGCATACGTTGTTGATGTAGGCCTCGCCAGGTCCAGTAACCAAGAAGAAGCCCGCTGCAAGCCACCACATGGACCGGTCTGCAAGAAAAACCTTGGTCTCGTAGTTCAAAAGCCAATTTTTCTTCCTGCGTTCCTCTTCTTCCCTCTGCTTGTCCAGTCTTGCTGCTTCCAGCTCCTCTTCCGACCGCACAAGTGTGCGTTCCTCGTCCGAGTCGCCCACATCGTCTGCCTGTGAGAATGTCCCGTACGCCGATCGGACCTCATCTCTCGATCGGAAGAACTCACTTTCTTCGAGGAGCCCGCTCCTCTCGAGTTCCTCCACCGCGTCATCGATGAATTTCTCCTCATCTTCCTCCACGATCTTCAGGGCGAACGTACCGACGACGCCGATGCAAAGCAACAGCAGAGCGAGGAAGACAAAATACCTGTACACATCAACATCGCCACGGCTGCCATCCTCGTTGCGTTCATAGAGAAAGTATGTTCCCACTTGACTCTGCCACATGCCACTAAGCCCAAACCCGGCAATCGGAACGGCCAGCATGATCCCCTTGTGCTTGCCGCGGCCGAAATTCTTCGCGCATGTCGTCACGGCAGCCAGATACATGCAGCTGGTGGCGGTGCCAATGGCGATGAAAGCCACAATCATCACCCAGAAGGGCCAGCCTTGGCCACCGGCATCCGGCGGCGGTCCGCTCCGGTAGGCAAAGGCAGCCAGCAGGTAGCCGACCCCGAACACGATCCCGGAGAGCAAAGCCAGAGGAGACGGAGAGTATCGGTCGCAGAGGTACCCAAACAGGGGAACAGGGAGGTACATCGAGACCTCCGCGGCGATCGAGACCGCGTTGACCCGAAGCTGGGTGTAATGAAGGCGAGTCAGCAGAAGGGGACCATAGAGAGAAAAAGCCGTGATGCTTCCAGCTCCCAGACTGATAGTGATTGATAGCTTATTAGCCAGAGCTCCGCAGACGGTCGCGTTAAACAACGATTAGACCTTACCAGGTAATCACTCCCCAGGCGAAGCTGCCAACACGGACGACTTCCCTGGCCATCTTCTTGCGATCGCGTTCGAGGATCTCTTCGACCACATCGTTCAGCAGCCCGTCCTCGTCGTTGGCCGCGGCGAGTCTTGATACTGGTCGGGACCGGATAGCTCCGTGCTCCTCCGCGTCACCGCCGGCATCGAACCCATCTAACAGAGGACGGTGAGAGTCGAAGTCTCGCTTGTCGATGGTCGAGACGGTTTGGCCATTGGATTCTGTCATGCTGCGTGTCGTGCTTCAACTTCTTTCTTTAGAAGTTCTAGGACTCAAAAGGGGGAATGACAGGTTTGAAGCAGCAAGCCAGACACCAAGGCGTGGATGCGAGTGTGACTCCTCAGGTGGAGGCGGACTATCGTCATCCGAGGAAAGGACCGAGAGTGGTTTAGCAAGAGCTCGTCGAAGAGCGTCTGGACAGCTGAAGCTGACAGACGACCAGAGATTGCTACTGTACCAGAGTTAGAGAATGGAAATCAATGCAGGCTTGAACTCTCATGGGTTGAAAATGGAATTACCGAAACAGGAGCTAAGCTGTCGGGGAGGGAGTGTGGAGTGTTGAGAGTCGAAGGAAGGGGAAGCCAACCCGAGGAATGATACGCGATTAGATAAGGTCCGCGCCGCCTTATCGCCAGAGCACGTGATTGCATCATTCATCAATCCAATCTCCCCCTTGCACAACCACCTTGCCTCGCCTGGCCAGCCTATAGTCTAGCCTTAAAAAGAGGAAGTCCTAACGTAGAGTGTGAATTATGAGTTCTTGTCTAGCTACTGCGCCCATATGTATGTACACAAGTACCACAAGTCTCGAATATTACCCTGTCAAACTGATTTAAACAGAAACAAAAAAAAAACCACAATTAGAAACCCCAGAGCTGTGCACCTACTCCCAGGAGGTATAGAGCAGTAAAACATGTCCAAGAAAGGAGCAACCGGAAATGACCATCAGAAAACACAGACAAGGTAACGGGTCTGAAAAGCAATTTCATACATGCCATGTGAATATGGCTGCAATACAGTAACCTTCCCCTACCATGCTCCAGGCATGAATAGACGAAGATTTGGATTAGGTAGCATAGTGCCGTTATAATTCGTCAATATCGTTTCGCTTGCCACAGGATGACAGGTCATAGCCGTCAATTACTGACAGCAAGTCCGCTGTCACGAAACCAATCCCCGCATTGCTTGCTCGGGTAGAACATCGAGTAAGGTGTGGGAATGGTGGGACGTTGAGTCGAGGCGGCTGCTAGGCAGATGATCAAAGGAAAGGGTTGTCGCTCGCGGGAATCATTCCAAACACGAGGATCAACCACTAAAAGCTGACCTCGCCGGGATCACTCTCCATGACGTTTTCGTCCCAAAACCGCTCCGATGATTCGTCTTGGTCCGAGTGTCGAGATCCGAGAGCAATAGCCTCACCCTCACCTCTTTCTATGTAGTCATCGTGACTGACTTCTTTCAAGATCCGTTGAAAGTACATTCGTAGAGTCCGAAGACCGCGTAAGTAACCACGATCAATATCGTCGGGATGCTGGGGCGGACAAGGAGCGTCGGGAGAAATCTCGTCCTCGCCTGTGACACAGTTTGCGAAGTCCACGATTTTCAGCTGCACATCTAGATAGCCATCATCAGAGCTCCGACGTTGCAAGTTATCTCGCATGGTGCCGGACCCTGACCGACCATTGACTTGGGTAGCTCCATCTGTCGGGTTTGGGTCACCATCGTAGAGGATCAGAAGGCTGCTGGCATACAGGCGATAGCGCTTGAGCCTTCTGATCATATTCTCCAATCGTGCCAGTTTCTCAAGGATGACAGGAATCTTCTTTGTCACGCTTCGCTGACTAGCACCATCGTAAAGAAATCGGGTAAGAGCATCCTGGAATTCACGCCCAGCCTTAAGATCGCGACCAAAGTATTTGTCCTCGAATGAGTACTCTTGTCTCTTCACATTCCACGTTTGCATACCACACAAACGGACGCCTAGCTGCTGGGAAGTTGTTGACTGGCACTTGCGTCGTTGAGATTTGCGCTTTTTCTCATCAGCTTCAATGCCGTACTGACGCGTTCCCATCTTTAGATCGAGGACGCAAGGCTTGTTCATGCCGGCTGTCAAATCCTCCAGCAACAGGAAAAATTGAACCCTGTCATCCTTCCGTGTCTGCGCTTCTTTGGGATTGGAGGGGAGCAGTACGTGATCGTCATGCCTAGGGCCCTCTTCCGAAGGTTCAATCAAGGTCTGGTTGGCAGGCTTGGCGGCAACAGCAGTCTTGGGGTTGGGTAGAGGCGGTCCGAATTGGTCAGTCATTCGGCGTCCTGATGGCGATTTGACGGATACATCGCCCTCCATTGGGAAGACACCGTCTTCCTTGTCACCTCCGTACCCATCGTCGTCATAAAACAGCAGCTCGCCTCCACCTTCTCCAGAGCCTAAGCTACCCCGTCTCTGCAATCCGCTCCCTGAACGGCGGCGTCTCATGGGCCGATTTCGCGAAAGTGAACTAGCACGGGGGGGGGACTCTTCAGTTCGGACCTTCTCAAGTCGACTGTGGCCTGCATCCAAGGCCGTAGATGCCGATGAAGACAGCCCCGGCCCGTCATTTGTCTGCTTTGCAATGTCGATGCCAGCAGCGAGCGTCGGCGCGTCTTCAACAGAAGCAGTACGACGACTTAAAGTTCGGTCTTCAGAGAGATTAACTCTACGGCGAATGCCGTCTGATGATGTCCTTGGCAGGTTCAGATGACCACGTGCGTGGCGTCGGTGATGGTGCACAGCAGGTGGACTGAAGACTTCACGGAGTACTTGCTCTTGCAACTGTCTGTTGACAGTTGTCGCGCCCCACTGCTTCTTTTTAAGCACCTGGGGAGATAGTGGACCATCAGCCAAGCATTCATGTCCGTTTT